AAGCAAGTAATTAAGCGCTAAGCTCAAATGCGACGCAGCTCCGCCGAATGATGTTCGCCTATGTGTTCACCTATGGAAGCAAATTATGCTAATTGTTTCCATTACACTGATGCATTTCACACAATGAGTCACTCCGAGAAGTGTCTTTCCTTTTACATAGGTGACCACCTGCTTCTACTGTATGGTCCCACCATGTATTGTACTTTCCCACCATGTACTGTACTTTCCCACCATGTACTGTACTTTCCCACCGTGTACTGTAGTATCCGGCTATGTACTGTACTGTTCCACCATGTACGATTCTGTCCCAACATATACCTGTGGTAGCATTCAAGTTACAATAAAGTATCTTAATACGGTATTTGTATGACTCAAATTTTGATAACTAACTAAAGCTACATATGTGGGGGTATTGGATATAACTAAATTCGTCCCGTCAGGCTTAAATCATATTGGTTTGTATGGTACTGCATTGCATATAGAATTACATTGAATTACATACAATCTATGTTGTTTTATTTTCTCTTGGGCACATATAGACTTACTCCATGTCTAATGTTGAACGGTCTTTGCCAATGTAGGTAATGCCATGCAGTAATAAGAAACTCCCTGATAGAAATACAACTACCCGAAAAACACAAGGAGAACATCTCCTGATAGCTGTATCCCTATATCAATCTGCATCTTTCTGACTCGATGTCTGCTTGTCAAAGAGATTTTTATTTAGGATTTATAAGCACGAAATATTTTATCAAGTTTCATAATACATTACTTTATGTTTTGGTATGCCATCTTTTGGCAACGATTCAATCACCATTAAAAATCTTTTATTAAGTCTCTGCTTTAACCGGTCTCTTAAGATAATGACGAAATTATGGCAAGTATGCATGGATCTAGTTAAGTACATGTCTGTATTACGTCTGTTCTCTTTCAGAATGAAGTGAAATGAACTCAAAACATTCTTGAGTAATTTATTACAAAGAAATTAATTTAATCTTATGCATTAGTGTCATTTTTATCTATTGAGTGAAATTGGTCTTTGAAATCAAAGTGTTCTTTTAGAATTTTCATAGAACAGGACATTCTGGACGTCTAAGCTAATTCGTATATATAGTTTACCAATTTCTAGTCATAATTACTTAATAGGCTGTTATGAATATAAACACGTTGTAATTGTATAAAAAGATTATTAGGATTTATACCATTTTGATTAACGTAGAAAGCTTGTTTCCTACTCTTATTCGCACGAAGAAACTCGCTGCGAGCACTCCTATATATCGTTAAAAAGAGACGGTTCCCCGGGGCTTTCCAGGGAACCAGGGACAAAGCCAAAAAATAATATGGAAGAAGGTAACATGTAAACTAGGGAACATGTAAGCCGGGGAACAAGCTATAGGAATGTAGTGAAATCCTTGTCGGGAACAAGGAACAAAGAAAAAAATTCCAAGGGAACACGGTAACACAGATCCCTCCCCCTCCCTAGACGACTCTCCAAAGAATCCATGCACTGTATAGAATTTTGAATTCTTGTTATTAAATGGTGCAATATATCCTTAGAAGTACTATCTAGTGTAGTTAAAATCGTTATCAACCATGCTAAGATATCCTATAATGGTGCAAGCCTTACCTAGCGATCTAAAAACTATCGAAAAACCACAGTCCACAAAATTCAACGTGTGGCCATGGACGACGTTTCCTGCACTATAGTCTATAGTCGACTTTGTCAATGCTTTGGTATCAGGTCGTAAAAAACATGTACAGTCCTATATAGTTATATATAATATCTTTATGAGGGACATATACCATAGGGAAGAATTCCATCTTTAAATAGAGTATGTATATATGTATTTAAGATTAATTAAATGACTAAAATGTAAAAAGTATTTACGTGCAGCATTGTTCAACTTTGTGTTCGAGAAAGAACTTGATTGGCATTAGTAGTCACCGTATATTTTAATGATCTTTAGATTTGTAAAATAGGATATTTCCTTATTGCCTGATATTGGAAGATGCCTCCCAATTCTTAGGTACTCCGGTTTCCTTCTGTATGGGCACTGCCCAAATAAAGCATGACCCCTACTGGACCTGCCTGGGAGACCAGCTTAGATAACATTGATTAAACTATCATAATAAATATCTTAATTTTGAATTACCCGCAAGGCTGTGATACCTTTCCCTCACTGCTTTACACGTGCTCGTGTCATGCGCATTCTTAAAACACTGAGCTCAATACATTACTGGAAAACTGGAGTCTATTGCGTGGTCATTGCATTCAGTATATCAGCCATATTTGGCTTCTCTTTTCATTCGAGCAATAAGTGTGGGTTTCATTTAGCACTTTTATTAGAGTGAGAAAAGAATGTTAATTTTTGTCATTTTATGTGCAAGTCTAATCGTATTTGCAAGCAAAATTAATAGAATTGAGAAATTTAGCTAGATATATTTTCTCCTATATAAGTCTGCCAACAAGCCGTCAACAAGTTGTGTTCGCACTGCTTGTCCTAAGTTGTCAACAAGTATGGAACGATATTATCAGACTTGTTGCAAAGTTGTTCCAACAAGTCTGATACAGTAGTGTTATATTACTTACTGTACTGTTACCGCAGAACATCTGTATATACTGTACAATAAATATGGCTTTCAAGGAAAAATTATAAGAGCAATGCCTCATGAAACAAAAGTACAGTTCCGAAAGTGGTGTTCCTTATAGGCTGAGGGCTTTTGCTCGAAAATTTTTACCACGCAAGAATGCATAAATAGACTAAATATACGGCAGAGGTATATACGGCATGCCTCATGATACACAAGTAGGCCTATAGTTTCAAATGATAATGATAATGGTAATGATAATGATAATGATAATGATTATGATTATGATTATGATAATGATAATGATAATCATAATGATAATAATTTATTTAAAGTCGAAAAACGCAGAAAGTGGTCGCCCAATCTTCCGAGCCAGAGGCTCATGTTAAAAGCGCTCGACATTAACTATTACAACTATATATATACAAAAACCTTAAGATATTAGAATTATTAATAGATAGCTACAATATAGGAATAGTTCAAAAGTACGTATAGTTTAAGATAGACATCTATTACAAGTGCAGCCGTCGAAAGTCGGTTCCGTGGCCGGAACGACGGCGGTTTGCACGAAAAACGTTCCCGATCTCACGCAAGAGTGCACATCGTTACAACGCACTTGTAAATGAAATAGTTATAAATAAAAATAAAATAAAATTACTGGCTTTTATGGATAGAATCCTCAAGATTTCTTTATTGTATTGTGTTATTACATTGTCCATAACATTCGGATTTGTAAAATAGGATATTTCCTTATTGCCTGATATTGGAAGAGTGCCTCCCAATTCTCAGGTACACTGGTTTCCCCCTGTGTTGGCACTGCCCAAATAAAGCATGACCCCTACCGAATCTGCCTGGGAGACCAGCTTGTTGTAACAACGCTGTTTTTATCAAGTTGCTACAAAGTTTCACTCACAACTTGTTGACAAATTGTTGAATTGCAGGACGATAACAAGTTGTTGGAACAACTTGTAACACGTCTATTGAGCTCAAAAACTTTGTAGCAAGTTGTCAACAAGCCGTTGACAACTTGTCAACAAGCTAGGAACAAGCAGTGCGAACACATCCTGATGACAAGTTGTTGGAACAGCATTGCTACAAGTTTTGTTACAACTTGTGCGTTTTTACACGTGTGCAGCTGTACTCCGTGATCAGGCATGGGCTCTTTGGTGGCAGCCAAATGTGTTCTATACACGCGTACAACAGGGTTCATACAAAACTTGAATGTCCTTGAATTTGAAAACAAAAATTCAAGGCCTTGAATGTCCTTGAATTTGTAAAGAAGTGCTTGAATGTCCTTGAATGAATTCTTCTTTCTTTAGTTTTTGGATATTTTCTGAAATTGTTTGACATTCAAGACGGACATTTTGTTGAACTGGTTTTGCATGTTCATATCTGACCTCATTATAAAGTTACGTTTTGAACAATTCAACGTCAGATTTTGCTGATTTCTAACGCCTTCTTCTTCAGTATTTAGTCCTTGAATTTGCTGATACATGGCCTTGAATGTCCTTGAAAAGTCCTTGAATTTGACTCTTCCTGACATGTACGAACACTGGTACAAATCTCACAGCTTGTCAACAAGATATTTATCCAAGTTATCAAGTCTGAAACAAGTTGTTATCATCTTGTAAGGTTGATGAGGCCAATATAGACGCGAAACAAGTTGTTCCAACAAGTCTGATATCGCTTACACGTGACAAGTTGTTAACAAGTTGATGACAACTAGTTCGTAGCAACTTGTTGCCGAACCGCAGTCTGTATTAGTTTTGTTGAAACAACTTGTAGCAAGTCTGTTACCGTCATCAACCTTGTAACAAGGTGATATAACAACTTGTTCCAGACTTGTCACAACAACTGGGAACAAGCATCTTGATATGAAGCAAGCAAACACATCTTGATATCAGCTTGACAGCAACCTTGTCACAACTTTGTTTGCAGATCTATAACAATTTGCCCGTTTTTACGTGTGTAAAGTAAATCAGTTTCTTTCCAAGGAAACTTTTTTCGATTCAAATTTTCCGGTGGGGGCTGCTGAGCAGGCTAAGCCTATGATTCGATCACTTTGAGCTGCACATGTACGTTCCTCGATCCATCGCGATTCAACGGCAAGGAAAGATGATTAGAGGAAATCGCATTAATTCTTAAGCAAATCGGCATAAATAACAATCTCCACAAACCTGCCATTTTGCACAATAGCACTGACAATAGCTCACATACTGTGAACGCCTTACATTCGTCAAATGACGTTGCTTCTTCAATCCTTATGGGAATTTTCTAAATCCCTAATTATGATCTTGCCTGACAAATTGGTTTAGCGACTCAGGCTACTCAGCATTTGATGTTAAAGATTAAAACTGTTTGTTTTAACATGAGGTAAAGGAACTTTCCAATTATATCATAAGTGGAACTTACATAAATATCGCGTGTATACGTCAAACGAATGATATTAATAGGAATATAATTGCTGCATGTGCATGATTTGGAAATATTTCGATGTTTCAAGAGACATCTCTTCGTCATGCAGGAAATTTATAGCGGTGGCCAATAAATCGATAATTTCGTCTTCCTTATTCTTAGACCTTCCTTTAATTCGGTCGACACGTCAAAGAATTGTAGTTTAGACGCAAACCAGCAACATTTTATTGTATGAAAGACTACCGGTACACTTAAATCCCACGTATTTGTAGCGGCATTTTTTATAAAAATGGTTACGTGTAACCAAATTAGGAGCCAAATTAGGCTAAAACCTGAGGCAAGATTTATACTGAATACTGATGCACAATCACGTCCTTCATGTACTTGGTTTGAAAATGAGAAATGAAAGCAAGGCAATTTAAATATTCTGGTAACTCACACTGCCGAGTTATCTCCGACAGGAGGTTAGGTTTCCATCTATGTTTGTATGTGTGTGTGTGTGCGTTTGTTTGCCAGCACGATAACTTACAAAATATCAAACGTATTAACACGAAAATCAGTCGGACTAATGGACTTTGCCCAAGGACAAATTGATTAAATTTTGGTTCAATTTAGTTAAATATTGGATGAGAAATTAGCACAAACGTTTGTCGTGCGGCTTAGCCGAGCAGAGTAAAGTGAATTTGTATAACAAGTAGCAACAAAAATTGCCTCGAACGTGTAACACGGCATGGGAGATGAGATAGGATTGGAGTGGATGAAATTCGGTATGATTTGATACGAATGGATAAAATTGTGTAAAATTGACCAAAGTAAAATTTCATTCGCGCAAAATTATCACCAAATGAAAAACCGGCATTTCCAGGTATTATATGTATAAAAGGTTTGGCTAAAATCTCGTGTGTCTCATTGCACGATGCCCCACACTTTCCGGCCATATTTATAACAGAAAGAAAAACAAAAAGTTTCACCTTGGAAATTCCTGGGAAATTTGGAAATGTTTGTCAAAGCCAAAGGGCTTCTTCGAGCTCTTTCCATTTGATATTTCCAGTTCTCATCGAGTTTATGACTTCAGGAAAAGATGCCTCCCACATCATAAAGAATGTTATGAAAACACCCTTGGGGCAGATACACAATACAATCAATGTTTTACGGATATAGTTCTCTTCTGCTTCATAAACTGTAGTTTCCTTCCGGTTTTTTTCTCTTTATATACAGGGCTACTCGCGCTTGAGTCGACAGAATTAATTTTTTGTGAAGTGAGAAAGGTGATCAGAGAAGTTGGATTGGTTTTGAAGATAGTCAAAAGAGCCAGAAGGAACAATTATAAAACGGTATGTTGTTTAAAATTATTCAAGATTTTTACTGAATGTTATAGGATTTTTGTGGATGAAAAATTTGAATCTTTATTTATAATTACTTTATCTTTATTAAAAAGTCTAAAACGATTTTATTGTATATATACCAAGGCACAAAATAACGGTCAATGACCGGCCAAATTTGTATATGACTCCGGTCACATGCATTTTGACTCTGGGAACGCTAAATTTTATGTCAATTTGTAACAATTTTCTTGGTGTGCGAATCTTAGACTTAGGCTTAGCGCTGTATTGCCGCCGGCTGAAACGATTTACTTCTTTAAAGGTCCAATGCATCAATACCAGAGTAATAGAATATAACATGATTCATACGCGCTTTTTGTGTTGTTGTGTTTTGATCGTCTTTGGAAGGTCTCGTGAGAGTTGACCGGTTAGAAATCGCGTTTGACCAGTTAGAAATCGCGTTTGACCGGTCACAAATGTGACTCATGAGGGGTCACCATAACCGGCGTATCTTGAAATGTTGTTTTCCTGTAAAATAACATAGTCATAGATAGTTGAAATACCGTTGTTCTCTACACTGAACAAAATTTGTATAGTTTTGCTTTCCACTTTCAGGGAGAAAAGTTGTGCTTTAATCAGAAATATTAACGTACTTCGCTAATAAGGAACCTTCGAATTCATTGTATTTAAAGAGAAATGGGTGATTCGAGCTATAGACTAAGTTTTGATCAAGGCAAGAGGAACGAAATCCAACACCACAGCTAGAAAGAGCGTCTTAGAATGAGTAAAATTGCAATCAAGATTAACATTGGTTGCTAAATGTTCGTCTATATATAGCTGGAATCATCCGTTGAGCACAAAAGTTGACTTAATTTTTGACCGTTTATTCAATACTGTTCTTGCATGTGCTATCAAGATTCAAAACAAGGATTTCAAATGATGATTTCCTTTGCTCATTAATCAGAATTGTGCACGAGAAAGAGATTTTATATATAGATTATTTGATAAATTAATGACCATCTTTAGTGAGAAGTCGACAGTATAAAATTCTTCGTTAAGGATTGAACTGTAAAATCTCAAGGAAGTTAAAATAATGAATAGCTTTATAATCATAAAATTGCTCAAAAACATCATACAATTTTGTTTATTTCCATAAGACTATTCCATTTGGTTTTGCCAAAGGAAATTTGCCTGCATGATATATAATCCTAAAGTAAACATTTGCCTTTTTTTATATCGTAGTTCAGGAAACATTAGAAACTTATGTTTGTTCACAAGGGCGTAGTTAGGGAGACAATTAACGATATAGGTATCAATTGTGTGAAGATTTCATTTCTTTATAGCAGAGATAATTAACAATATATTGGGGTCCAGTATTAAGTAGTACAGAAATTTTGGAAAATAATGAGAAACTGTTTTCGATGTAAAACACCTGACGAACACGGATATATAGAACAGATACTTCTATTGAACAATATATATGGAGACAGGCTGGCCGGATTAACCAGGATGATTCATTTAATAAAGTTCTTACCACGACTTTAATAAACATCCAAAATGATATTTCAAAGTTGAATTAGCTTAGTTTGATTCCAGTAATACTAATAGTATTAAGTTCATTCAAAACGATCCGATCATGAAAAATATTTTCGTGACACGATTTATCCCGGCTAGCCGAGCTGGCCCGAATCATATGAGCAGCCCCTAAATTGTATCTTGGCACTTTGGTGGCGCAGTTGTTAACCTATAAATTGATTATTTCTTGGTTTTACACAATGTGGGTTCGATTCTAGCTTCGGGCATTTTGCATGAATGTATTATCCTACAACTGTCATGGGTTTCCCGCGGCAAGAAACTCTGGTTTCCTTTTACATAAAAAAAATTGATATAGGGTTGGGCAGGATGGATGGCTTGGTAAATATTGCCACATTTGGTGTGACGACGTTCCGTATGCTGTCTCACGCTTATACGGACAAAATTCTAGGCGAAGTACGTAACACTGAGTTAACTAACTAGTGAGTTTATAAGCAAGCGATGTTTTTGTCGACATTGACGTCACCCGAAAATTGGTATAACTAATTTTGGCGACATTTTGCCTCATAGCGCTCGTGTAAGGAAGCAAAAAACTTTAATAATCTTGTGTTTTATCGAATGTGTTGAAGATTACCATGCACAAACTGACGCAAATATAGTTTTTAATCCAGTCCCCCGTCGGCAGCCAGACGTCCGTGTTGACAAAACGGTCGCCGGCCACCGAATTATTTGCTGAATGTCTGTTTGTAAATTGTACTATTCTCTTACAATTTCGAATTGTTTTTGTCTACCAACTCTACGTGCACACAAAAAGTTGTGTTGCTCACCCAATTTCTTCCCCACAAGGGGAAACTAGTATCCATGGCTTTTATTAGAAGGAAGACTCATGCAAGTCACCGTTTGAACCTATTTTTTTGGCTAGTTTTCAGAATTCAAACTGGATCACGCAAAAAGCGAACAAAACTGTTTTGTCTGACTTTGGCAGGAAGAACGGATGTTGCTGCACGTATATGAGAAATGCCGATTTTCAGGCTTTTCTTTCTGATGACGCAGAATGTTTCATTAATTATTAGCTCAAGTTTCCTACCTGCGCAAAAGATTACGTAATTACTTTACATTACTAACACTGGGGGTTCTCCAGCAATTAATGAATCCTTAGAATGAGTCAATGAATCCTAAGAATGAATCATTATATCCTAAGACTGAATCGCCAAATCCTAAGATTAAATATAACTGAATTCGAAAAGTGAATCATTGAATCATGAAAATGAATCATTTGTCATAAAAAGAATAATTGAATTCCACGAATGAGTCATTGAATCCTAAGAATGAATCGTTGATGTCATAAGATTGAATCGTAAAATCGTTGAATCCTAGGACTGAATCATTAAATTCTAAGAATGAATCATTGAATTCTAAAAGTGAATCATTCACTAAATCATAGAAAGAATCATTTATCATTAGCATATTGAATCCTACGAATTATGAGTCATTGAATCCTAAACGGAATCATTGAATCCTAAGAATGAATCATTAAATCCTACGAATGAATCAGTGAATCCTAAAACTGAATCATTCAATTCTAAGACTAAATTATTGAATCATAAGGCTGAAACACTAAAGATACTTTGAACTTTTATACTGACTCAGTGAATCCTAAGTTTCAGTCACTTCTGAAATCGTAAAGAATTGAATAATGGAATCCTTGGAAAGAATAAATGAATCTCAATACTGAATCATTGGATCCTAATATATTGGGTATAATAATATATTGAATTATAATATTGATTCATTGAGTCCTATGAATGGATAATTGAATATTAAAAATGAATAATTTCATGAATCCTAAAGATGAGTATAATTGCCGGAATCCTAAAAATGTATCCTTGAATCATAAGAATTAATTATCGAACCCTATGAGAATGAATCTTAAAATTTAATCAGTGGCCAAAGAAACGTGTAAAATATACTTGAAATTGATGAACATGTCAAAGCAAAACATGGAAACATTACCAGTATTCTCAGTAGCAAATGGTTTGAAATAGATGACGCAATAAGGAAATTCTCCAAGCAATATATATTGTTATGAAATTCGGAACTTCCTCTAAGCGTTTCAGTAATATAGCTTTAGTATACACGGTGTTTTCCGTTGAGTAAGCATTTTTTATCGCTGAGGTCGTGAAATCGATCAGAGTGAAAAGAGTTGGGTTTTGGCGGAAATCGTGGGTGAATGTTCATTATGGTTCATTAGTTACTCTACTCTCCTCCCACAAAGAATGTTGACAGGTTGGGCTTAGATACTCAGAAATATAGATGCATGATGGCCACACCAATACTAAATGAACTTAAATACATATCATCAGTATATTATATTATTGTCTTCGATTACTAAGTAACTTCCCGGCTACTAACTTCCTGATGAAAGGTCTTCGCCCTCAAGTAGTTGTATCCATATCAAACCGAAGCTTTCATATTATCGTCACTACCTAAACTGGCACAGACTGTTCAAGGTTATCTGCAATTACCGATGATATTCTAGATTTTGTTAATTGATGTACAATATCTTAAATGACTTTCGAGTTCTGGGTGAGGGCCCTGAGGAAGATGAGTTTATTGACTTGCAGGTATATTGACTACGCTGTAATATTTTAACACCCTCTTTAAAATGAAGATTATTGTATTGTATTGACCTAGTTACCATAAACATTTCAGGAGTTTTGTGATTAATAATAACAACAATTATTGTATATATATAGTATTTCAACAGGATATGTTTTTGACTGCAACTAATCCTGATCTGTAAGGTCTTGAAGCCAGAACCGTGCAGCCGACAGTTTAAGAAACAAAAACCGAAAATAGTTTCTAGTTAAATTCGTCTTGAATTTACTTACTTCTGGGTACACTAAGTCACTTTGTCAAGATTCCTTGTGGGAGGAACCAGAGTGGCCGGAAAAGCCAACCATTTTCGGCACGTACAGCGGACTCATTCCAGTCCTTTCACATTAACCGAGTTCTGAGCGAGAGTCGAAACCACAATGTCAGAGCTGAAAGGCGCATGCTCTAACGACCGAATCCCACATTGAGCTTCAACATGTAACCAACAGAGGTAAATTTAAGTTGATTTAATTCAATGAGCGCCAGCGGTCTCCCCATTGACGAGTAAAATCGTCTGGCGTTAGACAAAGTAAACTAATAAAGTAGGGCGCATTGGCTCGCAATGCAACTTAATTGGCCGTCGGTGAGACAGAATTTTTTTCTGAGCTTTATCAATCATTAAAAAATTCATTAATAATTCACGAAGAAAATACCAAAGAAATGAATGTTTAATCAATGTTTGTAAATAGGATAAAGATTTGTCCTGATTTACATAAACTTCAGCTTTGATTTTCTCGGCTTAGACAATGTTTATTTTTAAAATTACTTCGCCAATGAACTCATAAGATGGGTCATTTTTTAAGTACGATAAAACATTCGCATCCGATCTGTATCTGATATACAAATACAGATCGGCTGCTCATGTTTTATCTAGTACATATTGTACAATTTACAAGCTGTTGGTACTGTACAGTGTACACGCAACACTACACTGTGAATTTCGAGTTCACCATGCAAAAGTGTTATTCTATCATCATCGTTTTTGGTGACAGAATAACATGCACTTTTGGAGTTGTTTTCTTTAAAGCTTTGCATGGCGTTCATAGTAAAAATACATTGTTAAACACATGGTGTGTCCACAAATTGTTCCTTATTTTTACCTTTGGAGTTGATTCCACCATTAAAATTTACAGTGTATAATGCTCAAACATATGTCAAGGCAATATTTGAAATTTCCTGAAAAAATCAAATAACTGTAAACACAAAACAATAAGCTGCCATGGTTTGTGTCTGAATTACACGAGAAAAATTTTAATTCAATGGACCATTTGCATTATAGACTAAATTTTGATCTAGACAAAAATTTCATCACAGCTTGAAAGAGCATCACAAAATTAGTAATATTCCCAATTAGTAATACAGCCCAATCGGGTGGGGCATCAATTTCCCGTTTGTAATACAAAATGACTGAAAATTGCAAATTTCGCAAGGCTATATTATCCGCATTTTACAACATTTCGCAACGAAACTTTGGAATATTACTAATTTTGTGATGCTCTTTCAAGCTGTGATGAAATTTTTGTCTAGATCAAAATTTAGTCTATAATGCATATGGTCCATTGAAGCTTTCGATCGAGCGAAAGGTCTTCCTTCGTCATATGATTGGTCGCAAAGTAGAGCGGACCCCCAGGTTTGAGATATCATTAGGAAAACATACCTCAGATAAATATTTTCCACTTACAGGCACTCAACTTTCACGAGCTTCCAGCAACTACGTCCGTGGCATGAAAAACAATCTCTAAGGAATTCTCTATCTTCTCGACTCTATCTTAAGTGTACCACAGCTGTAAGCCAGTATTATCACGCGAATGTATTGAGATAAGAGGCATTAGAATATAAACACCTCCGAAAAATAGTTTTAGGTTGCATTTTTTTGTTGTTTCACAAAGCCGTAACAAAGAAGAGATAACGTCATTTGTGGAACAATTTAAAATATTTGAGCAAAATTTTCAAACCACGATGGCGTCCATTGAAAGCTCGGTCATTAACGAGTTACAATCCTTCGTTAATTATGAAAGATATGCAGGCCTTTTACATACTAACATTTTAGTTATTATCAATCGATCGATCAATTGATTGAATGATAGAATAATAAGATAATAATAATAATGATAAGAATATTGTTATACAACCTGGTGTCGTCAACTTTGTAACGTTGTTATATCATGAGTGTATCAGATTTGTTAGAACAACCTTGTGACAAGTCTGATAATGCCATCAAGCTTGTTACAAGTTGTTAAAAATAGTTTTAGGTTGCATTTTTTTGTTATTTCACAAAGCCATAACAAAGAGGAGATCACGTCATTTGTGGAACTATGTAAAATATTTGAGTGCAGCTGTACTAGAAGTAGTAATATAAAACCTTTGGCCAAATGAGCTACCCGAGGTGATTATTTTCAAAACAATATCTTTACTTTACCGATAGCTTTTCGTGCAGCACTAGCAGTGGTAATCTAAAACATTTGGCCAAGTGAGCTACACCTGAGGTGATTGCTCATATTGATACCAGTTCTTCTGAACTGACGTGACTACCCTGACGAAATAAAGTTGATTTGATTTGATTTGATTTGATTGTATTCAAAACATTATCTTTACTTTACCGATAGCTTTTCGCTCTTAAGGTATACAATAAAATCACTGGGGTTAGAGAACTCGGTTGGGTGGTCACGATTTAGCCATTAAATGGTTGGGTAAACTGATAGTTTGGATTGCTTTTCTACAGTCGAGTAAAAACGCATCTTTAGTATTCTAAAGCCTGGTTTACACTATGAAAGTTTCTGTGATCACAGTAGGAATTTTGCATCGGTAACTTCAAAGTTTTGAAGGATTTGTAAAAAATGTTTGAGAGAAATGACTCAGTATTAAATGTGTTATATTTTCCAAACAAAACTAAAGTATTCCACTACGTATAGTCTACATTTTTGCCACCTGCATGATAAAATCACCAGACCAATCGCTCTTCAATAACTTGCGTTTAGTTCCATGTTTTTGTTTCAAGTACTGTTTAAATTTCAGGTGGTACTTTTTATAAGATTTTTCAGGCTTTGTAAGGGACTGTTCATGAGCTGGGCCAGCCCCGCTAGCCAGGATAAATCGTGTCACGAATTTTTTTCCTAACCATAAAAGATCGTTTCAATAATGAACTTTATACTGTTACTGAAAACAAACTGAGCTATAATTCAAGAATCAAGTATTCAACTTTTGAACTGATGTCATTTTGGATGTTGATTAAACGAATCATTCCGCCGTATTCCTGTATAAGATTAAGCTGGATCCAACCAAAATTTCTGAATGGTGCCCCGGCCCTCACCCCAAAACAAAGTTACTTCCATTTTGTATATTTGAGCCAAAGGCGAAGCATACATTACAAAACTTTATTTGCCTCTTGAAAGAGCTTATCGTTATTTTGAACAACACTTAAGTGGCAATAGTCGGTAAAATCATATATAGAACGTGGTTATAACGCCGTGAAAATCATGTGAATAACATATAGCAGTACGAACAACTACGTCGTACTAGAATGCTCAAGGGAACTATAATTTATTAGGCATGTATGTCTTCATTGATGTTGCTGTTGTAAGTTTCCAAACTCACTAAATAAAGTTCCTCGGAAATCCTTTTCAATTGTTAAGCCTTTGCAATTATCAAAGTTTCTCCCGACCACATGCAGTAGGAATTTTGCATAGGTAGATTCTATAGCGACATGCGAATGTAGTGACATGCGAATCCTACGCAATGCTAAGATAAGAGATAATTAAGATAAGGTATATAACAGAAGAGGGATAAGATTTAATAGAAATATGAAATTATAGATTGGATGGGACAAACTATAATAGTTCTATAATAATATAATAATTACGATAATAATGTTATTGTAATAATATAGTTTGTTTAATCACGACCCACGCTAACCCACGACTTGAATTGGGCAGGGTGTTAAACATCCCATTTCTCATGATTGTCTTAGACTCTGTGTGGGAATCAATCCCATTATCCTTGAGGTGAAAAATGGTCAAAATTCTTATTTGGGGTTGGGACTGTTGTGACCGGAAAATTTGGATCAATCAAGAGTAAGTCCATTTTGTGAAGATACTTGATAAAAACTTGGCCGAGATTTTTCCATTGACACAAAGCAAGGATTTCTGCTCTGACGTGAGTCTGTCCATAAAAGGCGCTCGAAGTGCATGCAAGAATTTGCACGAGTTTGAAGAGTTATTTTAATAACAGCTTGTATATTTACCACAGTTTCCTTTCACTCGTCACGCATATAACTCCCACCAGAATGTTTTGTATAAGTTTTTGGATCAGAATAAGTGGGTGACACTTTGAGGGCGAAGGAAGGCGACCTCTCCCACCCCCAATATTTCCTTTACGCCTTTGAAAGATACGTGATTTACTCAGACGTAACAAAGTTGTAACAGTGTTCGTCAACCACAAAATTCTGATATCCTTTTAAGCAAATTGAGATTTAATTTTTTTACCAAAAGGTTTGGGGACTATAATTTGCTGCCCCAAAGTGTGGGGATATGTTGACAATCTTAATTCCATCCAAGGTGACCGTCATTGTTCGAAAATAACCGGAACTATTACTTGTATTAGCTGTGAAAAATATATTCTCATAGTTATATACAAAGCAATGCATCGTCCGGTATGCCAAATTTTGCTATTGTCTTTATAATTGTTAGGCGTTTTAGGCGTTTCATAGTAAAAATACATTGTTAAATACATGGTGTAACCACAATTTATTCCTTATTTTTACTTTTCGAGTTGATCCTTGAAATTTACAGTGTATAATACTGAAACATATGTCAAGGCAATATTTGAAATTTCCTGAAACTACCCATAAGGCATAACTGTAAACACGAAACAATAAGCTGCCATGGTTTGTGTGTGAACTACATGAGAAAAATTTTAATTCAATTGAACCTTTCGGTCGAGCGAAAGTTTTTTCCTTTGTCATATGACTGGTCGCAAACTAGAGCGGACTCCCAGTTAATTGTTAGGCATTTTATGCGTGTCTATGAATTAAACGTATATGTATACATTGAAAACGTTGTCGATAAATTTCTATTATAATTATTCACATCGTCCATACAAGTTCATTGAGGATGTTTAAACTTTTACTTCCGCATTTAAATAAGCACTGAGACTACGTCAACGATAAGATTAAATTTGGCTGCACGAAACACATGCATAATGCCGCAACCTATATTGATGAAGGATTGGTGTATATTCAGAGTTTTTTCTCGTGAGAACAACATGCATGCAGACAGTATATACTTCCCTTGTACAAATCTAGCCCACAGTTTTAAGTTACAGACGTATTTCCTTTACGTATATAGGAACGTATTTTTGGTTAATGTTACCGCCCGATTGTCTCGACGAAATATTGTGCGATACTAAATTTTACATTAACATAAGAAAGCCCTATAGTGTTGTAGTAATATTATGACATTTGAGGGTCTGATATCCAGCCTAGTTACACGCCTAAAAATCTCACAACTTGGTAAATTAACAAGATATGTTCGCACTGCTTTTAACAAGTCTGGAACAAGTTGTTATCTTGTTACAAGGTTGATGAGGCCAACAGACTCGCAACAAGTTGTTCCTATTTCTAGAATAAGTGTTTAATAAAGAACATGCTTATGTATTATACAACACAATACAACACAACACAACACAACACAACACAACACAACACAACACAACAACACAATACATATATTTCGCCCTTTTTTACAAAAAAATATAAAATAACAATCTGAATACAATATAGTTAAATGTATAAGTATTCATATAAAATAATTATTGTTGCTTATTAGAGTGTTGAATAACAAATAGTTGACATTTTATTTAATGAATATATGGGCATGGCAACTAAATTAACCGCGATGTTCTCTATAACCAGACAAAGATTACTGGAATCCTCAGCCAATGGTATTTCCTCTATTCCCGATAAGACAAGTCACCTTTCCAATACGGGTAACGCATAAGTCTCAAATCTTGTTACACAAGGAACAAAGTGGCGGGAACGGATATACTGATGACGTATTGTAATACCATAGACAAACCTTACAATAGTCTTGGCCACAGAACAACTTTGTAAAAAAATCTGGCACATGTACAGAGTCTTAAACACCTTAATTTCCTTCTTGCTGTCAATCAACTAACCTACGTTCAAAGGAATGAACTCAAGTGAACACTTGAAAACTTGTTAAATGGTTTGTAAAAACAATCACTCAATTCAAAGGAGATAAGCACAAAGAACAGACTTTGGAATCAAAACTATATCGTGCCACGTTTCGCATAAAAACCTCTTTTGAACACATACAAGTGCTTACACTTTTTATACGGAATGTCCGCAAGCATTAATCTGCACGAACACAATTGGATTACCTCCAACATTTCTACAAAATTGTGACCTTTTAGAAACGTAAAAGGGCTAAGAGGCATAACGGAAATCTCAACTCCCTTGCATGTATAAGAATTTTGTAAGTATATGAAATATGCCGTAATAGGCAAACAGTTAGTTATATATTTTCAAAAAATTGATAATTTTTCCTTGACAAGTTTCTTTGTGTCTGAAAGTTAGACATTCCAGCTTTAATTGAACAAGGAAAACTTATATTCGACTTTGTGTATACGACTATCAAGAAAATTGAACTTCCTCGCCTATCAGTGGCCACTGGACTAAATTTAAATAACTAGACGTGTCAAGAAAATTTGTAATTCTTTTGTGGTACACTGACGGGCAAAAAAACTCGTTGTAAAGCAAACTTGTTCGTTCTGTACGGGGTTTAATGGTTGCCGTCAGAACGTTATAGGGTATAGGCATTATCTTGGGGAAAATGCATTTGAACTATTATAGCCATTAACACTGCCGACTTAAATAGTTTGTAATTCTTAAAAATTACGTTCATAACTTCACACATAGACACGCGCAAGTTGTTACAGACCTGCAAACAAGGTTACTGTCAAGCTGACTTTCACGGAATTAAAGAATTCGTGTGTTGTATGCATTTATTGGACTTATTTAGTTGACAATTTCTACTGTCGACATTCACTCCCATGTATGGTGCCTTGATTATGCTATGACTTGCAGTTTTTGCTACTGTGCTATTGTTTACATCACAATCCTATTCAACAAATAATTCACAAGAATAAAACGAGTTAACCTTGCATGACATAGCTGCCCACGTTGCACGACATAGCAGCCATGCTGCCCAAACAATGCGGGGGAAGCATGGCCACGGGGGCAGCACGTTGCCTTCTTTACAAGAACTGCACTTTGAAAATCGTGTACGTTATTCATATGAATTGAAATTGAGAACTGTTTTGAAGCGATCAAGCTCAAATTTGAATCTGAATTTCCTCTCACAAACGTTACCAAGGTTTCAACGTCAAAAAGAATAAAGCCTTTTATTTATAATAATTGATAAGCTGTCATGTTTCATATGCAATGCATTTTAGTCTTTAGCGTCGTCATACAACGAATAAAATTGTTCCAATCAATGCCGAAATTTGTCCAAATATATTGGCTCAAAATTAGTTATTCGTGTAAGGAACATATAATAGTTTGAGGTAATTAAAAGTAGGTAAAAGTAGGTTAAAACAGGCAGATAATGTTAAAACTAAGGTTAGGTTATAGGACCTTATAGAGTCAGGGTTATGACTAACTTTTATGATCACACCATACAGTGTGACCAGATTTTTTCAGCAGTCATTACCAAAATGTTCTTCAAATTTTACTTTAGTCTTTAGCATCATACAACGAATAAAATTGTTCCAATCAATGCCGAAATTTGTCCAAATATATTGGCTCAAAATTAGTTATTACTTCATGTAAGGAACACATAATAGTTTGAGGTAATTAAAAGTAAGTTAAAACAGTCAGATGGTGTTAAAACTAGGGTTAGGTTATAGAGTCAGGGTTATGACTAACTTTTATGATCACGCAACCTTATAATTTGCTCCAACTGTTTTGTTGGTCTTACATGAAGTACTTACCCGAAATTTTAACGAACATTGCTGCCCAAAAAATTATGGCTCAGAAGTAAGTGCCCTTTTTAAAAAAATAAATGAAATAGATCGGCTGCTGAAGTGACTTACCTCCCATGCAGTAATTTGGAAAATAACCCATTGTATATTTCAGTGAGTATGCCCACATGAACGACCTCCGCAATGGATATTATAAGACCCATTCAATATACTGCAGATATTTTATTATAATTGATTCTCAATCTACTAGGGTTTCTAAATTTTCTTAGAATAATCCCTGTAACGGGTGCAATGAATGACGAAATAACCAATTTATGACAAACAAAATGAAACAAAATCATCATAAATGAAAATATCCCAAACATGCGATGAATGATATGGAAATATTTTAAGGGAATTAAAAATAATTACTGTCAAATTATCAGTAACAATTTTACCCCCCGAAAGTATTTTGTTTCTGCTCGATATAGATCAGGCATTGTCACTAGCTCTTGGAGTTATATTTTCGATATTGACTTAATTAAATCTTTATTTATGTAATTTGGTCGATGAAAATTCTCTATAACTTTATCGTAAGAGATAAATATCGAGTTGTGTTTTTTCTCGAAAGCTCTTACCTAATTGAAAACATAATGTATTAAAAAAAGCAAAATCAAAATATGACAACAACCCAGCAAGAGTTAGAGAAAAATACTAAATTCTGATTGGCTAACACTAAAATGGGGGAGCTTGGGGAATGGTAACGAATTTGTACAAAATAATTCAAGATGGCGGTTGTATATATAAACATGCAATGTCATACTAGCCTAAATTTTTGCATTGCTTTTATTCGGGATCTGAGGGCAAACCTTATCTAAGCATATTGCTAGTCAAGCGAATCCCACATTTAATTTAGTCATCCATTCATTGCATAAACGTTCGACAAGCCAATTTAAGGATAATTGGAAAACTTCTTTTGTCTTCCATTACTGGGGGTATAGCCATATAACGTTTTAACACTGTTTAATTGTTAGCGCTGTATTCCAACGCGGAAAGGTTTGTGTGTGATGTAATGTAAATTTGTTGAGCTTTATAAAGTACTCAAGTCCGGCTAAAACGTGCTGAAATATCTAATTACATATAAGATAAATTACGTACAATAACATATGAAAAACGTTTAAATCGGAAAGGCAGCCTGTATAGTATATTGTATCCCAGGCGGCCGGCATATGAATTATATGACTACATACATTGGTATGTGTATACTGTTATATTCCTTCCATGAAACATGTTCTTTATAGTCATATACTGGCTAGCTAAAGCTCTTTTTTAATGATGTTTTGGTTTTGTTCGTGAATGAAACTTTGAAACGTGATGTTACCACAAACATGCAATTGTTTGTCCCTCAAACCATTTAAAGAGAATTAAAGATATTTTTAGTAACATTGTCCTGTTCAGCCGTTATATTTAGGTCTGAGACTATGAGAGGAAATTGGACCCAATTGCCATTCCACTTCAAAACAAATTAATTCTCTCTAGAGTTCCTTAATTAAATCATCTAGGAAAGAAAGAATTATTTGGCTATTTCAAGTTAGGAATTAAACCCCCCTGCGTGGCTACAAGAAGTTCAGTTTGCTATTTTAAGATGTCAAGTGTATAAATAAGTTTAAACTTTTAGCCTTCAGTGTATTTCATGAAATTTCTTTGAACGAAGCAAAACTGAGGAACAGTTCTATCGTAAAAAGAGTTGGTTTAGCAGTCCCAGTTAAGGTAAATACTTTCTACGGTTTTTTGAGGAACAATACAGCACAGAGTAACGGTTTCTTGTTTTCATGTGGTTTCATGACAGTCTTACTTTGTCTTTGATGAAATGTATGTTGATTTCATATTGCTGAAAAGTAGTTGAACCCTAATTTAGCAGCGCTGAAGCTCATTGTGACCTACAAGTACCGAGTTGACGTAGAGCAACATTCGTATTATGTACTTGGACTAATGAGGATCAAGCATAGACTGATGCATTTTTCAGGTTAATGCACGTAGATGTATGCTAATCATTTCCTTGAGTTCTGCAAGGCCGAAGGCAGCTTACTGACTCGCTGGAACGCTTCTGTGTGCCAACATGCAAACGATCCTTGTCCTGTGAGGAGCACAGCTTAGGTGTAACTGGTAGACTGGTAGTATTTACAAGTTAATGTAATAATCAAGATGGCGCCCCTTTGGTTATTTTCACATTAGCAAATTTAAGCCTGCATCGAATACTTGTTCGTGAAGAAGGCATGTTTTGTTTGTAAACTTTGACGTGCTGCCAAAACTCTGCATAACTGCATAATCTTGTTGGAAGAACGTCAATGAAAAACCACTTTCGGATATTAGAGTGTTGTGGCAAATAAAAAATTGTCTACATGGCAACTGGGTTTTTTTTAAACGACTCACTCCAAATCTATGTCTTTTGTCTTTGAAAATCATTAATATATACGTATTAATTTAATCATGATTTATGATTATATGCCATAAATCTCTTTCACAATATCGTTAAAGTGTGACCATATATGTCTTGTAAAACAGCCGTATGTTTATATCTGTAACACCATGCACAGTTTTTAATTATCATGTCACTGTCTACAAATCTATGTAATTGTCTTTGAAAACTGGTTAATACTCATTAGACATTTAAATAATTCATGGTAATCGTCCTGTCAATTCCCTGCTGTAGCTTTACATATCTGACAAATTCAGCAGCCGTTTCTTTTTTAATTATAGTTGTGTATATAAATATATATAATTGTCTTCAAAGATCGACTCATTAATAATTCTATCCTATAATTTGCTCTTGGCTGCATGCTCAATATAATTAACGGTGAATTAACGTTTAGTAAATACACCTTGTGACACAACATTAGTCAAAAGTATTCTTTATTTGTATATGTATATATACACTCATCCTCGTATACTTGAAAGCCATTTTTGATACCCTAATTCTAGCCTGCGTAGTGGCTCTCAGAATACAAGGGCCTTGTATTTTGAAAGCCGCTACACAGGTTGATGCCCTTCGATAACCGACCATTAATAAGTTAATGCAAATAGCTGCACTGTTTGTGTTTTAAATCAGGTCAAAAAAGATGGCACCACAAACATTGATTGTATCAGCAGTTGCCAACAACACAATGAATTCTAAATTGATATTTATGTACTGATAATTGTCTTAACTGTCCTTCATTACAATCCATTGTTTCACAGTGGATTAACAGTCTTAAATTTAATCTCTTGATAATTCAATTGTTAGTGGAAGTCACCGTTTAAAATAACACCACCGTTATAAATAACACCATTTGTTTTTGTGTAGCTGTACTGATGAGAAAGTGTTGACAATTTCTCGGAACTACGCCATGATTTTGAGTTGTAACAAATTAATTTTAATCCTGCCTCTAATTATATATATAGTGTCTAGTCCATACATGGGGTTATGGTTTGGGTGCTTTTAAACTGTACTCATATGCGAATAGGTTAAATTGTATCAAGACCTGTTTACACTTGCAATCTTTGCTGCGATTTATGTTGCGATTTTCTTCTTCTGGTGGATCTGAACGAGTGGATAAGTTATAAATGTTCAGATGAGGTTACATCATTGAAATGAATATAACGGGTTACATGCACTCAGAGCATTTATAATAACTCATCCACTCGTTCACATCCATGAGAAGACGAAATCGCACTAGAAATCGCAGCGAACCACCGACCTCCCAAATTTCGAAATAATCAGATTATCTGGTGTAAGACACACTTAAAGTTACATCTAAAGTTACCAAACACCTTTGTGGACCTGTGGAAGAAACAGTGTCGAACTGACAGACCTATCCAACAGTACTACCGTATAGTTCAGTACAAAAATTCATACAAAACACTTAAAGGCTTTCTCGTTTCCAGGACTTTTTCAGATATCCGCGAGGATCTTGTTTGCGTCGCGAAGGCATCTTTGTGATATGAGTTATAAACAAAACCAATTCCATTTTCCGGCTGTGACATATAAAAGGAAATTCTCACGTGAAATGAGAGCTATAAAGATCGGTTTCCCAAATAATTAATTACCGTTTCCCAAAGGCAATTTCCTTTTCGTTTCATGACAGTTGACAGAGATTTTGTACGACCCACTTGGAGTAATTACGTTTAATTTTACCAACTTTGAGTATTAAAGACTTTTACATTGTAAAAATAGATCGTATTTCACAGTTTTATTTGTATATTCAGCAATATTGATTAGTTTATAAAAGAGGTATAGGGCTTTGAACGTTTCTAGATTAGAGACAACTATAAGCAGCAGTGGTTTGTTTCTGAACTTAAATCATTTTCAAAAGTTGTTTGGAATGGGACACTTTCGGTTTTAGATCATCAGTGGATATATGCATATTATTACAAACACTGATGTATATCTCCCTCCCCCTCCCCATTCAATGTTGTTACGTACCCGATCATACACCTAACTAAGATGCTAACCGAGACCTAACATTAAAAAGGGGGCGGGGGAGATCGACGTTTGTCAAAATAATACGTAGTTGGGTCATCTGTTCCAACACGTTTGAAAATGATTATACTTTGAAAAATATGAGAAACAATTTAACGTTTCGAGCGAAGGCCCTTCGTCACCGTGGAGGGAAAACGGTTAGTACGTTACTAGCATCCCTCGCTACTAACGTCTTAGGGCAGTTATATGGAAAGGTAGTTTGAGGTAAATTTTAGAACTGTTATAAGTGCGAAAGTTAAACAATCAACTGCTGGAAGGCCTCTTCTCCAGGTGCCCTCATTCAACAAATTGCTGGGGGAGTTTGGCACGATCTGGGATTTGACTTTCTTTTTCTCTATAACAGGCATTTGTGGCATGTGGATTAAAGAACTCTTATAGGAAAAAATCGAGACCGACTTTGATACGATCTCAAAGAAAACTGGGACTTTTGTGATTTTCGAACACTGGGAGAGTGTCAAACACACCTCTCTTTCTAATTTGCGCCCATACTCTTCTCTCGAAAGACGCTTGCACTAACGACCATGTTGAAACACGTGCACTAACCATCGGTTCAGTCACGTGTACTGATCACTTTCAATCACTATTCCTACATTCACCATGATTTATTCGTGCCTTAATTAGCTTCTTGTTCTCTAATACGCATCGTTCTGCTTCTACGTAAGTATAAAATATCTTTGATGCGGTCTTATAGTTAGATATTTCTTTGCTGCGACGTATAACAGCTGCTCTCAGCATGCTTGAACCCATTAACACCCAATAATTTAACTCGTGCATTAATTCCTTATATTGACGAGTAAAAAATTGTCTGGCGTTGGACGGAGTAAAATGATAAAGTATAAGGTTCAATTGGCAGCACACGTCGTTGTGTATGGAAAACATGAGAGTTGCAAGTTTTGATGAGTGCACAACTCTTCTTCTCGTTTGACATAGTCGGACACATCAGGACACTTCTCTCTTCCGCAGACGCTTTTGAAGGATTAATTTAGAAAGAATTTCGTAATTAATTATGCTAGATGGTATGAAAAGAGGAATGTAACCGCAAAAATTCATTCCTCTTTTCGTACCTTGTAGCGTAATTACGGAATTCTTTCTAAATTAATCCTTCAAAAGCCTCTGCGGAGGAGAAAATCAGGGTGTGGAAAATCGTACGTTTGCTTCGTAATTAACAATCTCTTGGATTGATATTACAAGTCACGAACAAGTAATTCTTAATTGATGTTAAAAATAATCAGATTCTTAGAACTGTGTTAAGCAGCCTTTATTTGGTAAACGGTAAAAACATGTTTCCGCACATTTACGAATATATATTGAACCATATAATAACAGGATATTGATCGGATCCTTATATTCTGTCGTCCCCTTAATTAATTGCCATGAATTGACATAACACATTTGATTAATTATATACTGGAATTTATTTTCAAAATCGAAATAATGTGAATCCTAGTTGGAAATAGTTTAAAATTGATAGAGTTAATAGTATATTTGGTGAGTAATCTTGAACAGCCTGTATAGGTATAGTGACAATAATAACTAATAAGAAAGCTTCGGATCGATAGGGACACTGAGAAGAAGTTCTCATTCTCCTTGTATTTTTCAGGTAGTTCCATGCCTATCAATCCGAAACTTTCTTACATTTGGGAGTATCCTAATTTAGATCACAAATTCGGCTTCGCCTCAGGCTTGAACTTGAACGTTCGACCTATATGTTGAATTTAGCTCAAATTTTTTTAATTTAAAATCGATCTTATCATCCCACGCTGAACGTTAAACATCAGAAATGAAAGATTTCTTTAAGACTTGTCGCTTAGACCATTGTCAAAAAATTAACACCGATTGCTTTTCTCTTTACGTTAAATGTGTTTGACGTGCTTTAATTGCATTTAATTATACGAAAATGAGCTGAAATTCTGAAAGAAAGGTGAAAATTGGAATGAAAATTGTGTGAACCGGCATGGTAGAACAAAAATAGGCCAACACAGAAGTCTTTTAGAGTAAAGAAATTACCAAACATGGCAGTGTTTAATCTTAGTTTAAATTGTATATTATTTTTCCTGTTTGAGACGCTGTAGACTAAGCAAATACGCAGAGATCTTAAGGCCCTGTCACACTATTGCGTATGAGAGAAACGTATGAGAAGCGTATGAAAATTAATGAAATAATTTTCATACGCACAAAAATCCTTTGAAATGCCAGCGTATGAGTACCGTACATCTGGCGTACCTCTAACGTATTCAGCATGTGCCTAGAGTATGCTTATCGTATAAAGCATATACGTCCGATACGCACAAAATTTTTGAACATGCTTAAAAAAAATTTTCTGCCTCGCCGTATGCCAGCGTATGCCTCCGTACGCGACCGTTCTTGAAACGTATACAACCTATGCCTAACGTACCCCTAGCGTAGGTCAGCGTATACCGGCGTATGAGTGATATTTTTCATACGCTGGCATACGCTAGTACGATACGCAATAGTGTGACAGGGTCTTTAAGAATAAAGCCTGAATTCCATTTGGTCCTAACTGTATACTGTCCTGACCAGGTCGTTGCAAATCCTTGACACCGCGTCACCGCGCGCAGCTGTTTAGTGAGTATAGGGATAAAGTGAATGTATACAATCATACAGAGTCTGCAGTCACTCGGAGATGTTGCTTTGAAAATATTTTTACAGTAAAAATGAGACATATACAGTATATATTACAGTCTGTCTTTTGCAATGTGAAAGTCAACACCGATCTTGATTTTGGTTAGTTATCTGTTTCGGTCAGTGCATGTATAGATGACAACTTTTACAACGGCGGCACTTCTCCAAGCGACAGTAACTCCTAGTTTTAATACCAATATATATATTTGTTATTATATATATCTAAACATAAAAACCGGCATCTTGCGATGTTACATGGTATTGTGCCAATGCCATCATAGCATTAAACTGCATCGGTCAAATGGTGAATGACGTAATAATGCAATTGGACAGTTAATGGCGGGAAATACCTGACCCCATGATTGGCAGCTTAAATTGCTATAAATATGGGATTAAGCGTATTATTTGTATTTCGCACTTGGCATTCGTGCTAAATACAAGTGGTGTATTTTGTCATTAGATGTTGTCGTAAGTGCTATTGTATCAGTTACTTATCTTGCTGTATTCTTCGTACACAGATCTTGTCACAACCTTGGATTTCAATATTTGGATTGCTATCAGGATTTTTAAGGAGCATCGTTTGGTTACGTTCAGAGGTAGGGTTCTCGTAGGGTATAGTATCATCCATAAATATAACGTGATGATTGATGACTGAGTATGTGAGTAGTTCGACGTTTAACGGTATAGTGATACAATTGGGGAAGCGCAAACGCATTTAACGCATATGTTTAACATAAGTCAGTTTCCTCAAACATTTCTTACAAACCTTCAAAACTTAGAATTGACCTATGCAAAATTCCTACTGTGATCACAGAAACTTTGATAGTGTAAACCCGGCAGGCTTTACATTGGTATGACTATGTCTATGACCATTTTGTATACGTGAAGTATAGTCCTATTGTCTTTCATGAATCGCAAAGGTAAATAACATTTTGAAAGAACCCACTAACATCCGCATGTAAATTGGTTGACTATATCAACGGAACACAATTGAACTAAAGTCTAAAGAATAAATTTTCTAAAGAGCTCATCATAAACACTTATCAATTTTGGCTTAATATCAATCACAATACATGTTAACAATGAAATTTTGAAATGCCACATAAAAAATTGTCGATTAATTATAGGATTTCCATATAAATTGTTCAATCAACGTTTGATTCGGCCACGTTGGTCCATGACCATGTCAACTGAATATGCTATATACGCAATTTCTGAATAATTTGAAGCTGTGTGTGTCCTTCAATATACTTGGAGTTTACCCAGGCAAAATTCCTACTGTGATTACAGAAACTTTGATAGTGTAAACTGTAAACCAGTCCTTATATAATTATTACATGTTTTCATAAGTACATTTTTGCGCATAACTGCATAAATTAATACTGTATACAGGTGTGCCACGATAAATAGCAAGTATTGTATAGCTACATGCATATATAACATGTTTCATGCATGCAACCTTGCACGCAACACCATACCTCTTCGCTGTAAAACTATTTTTAGCATTGTTTGTTTTTCACATTCCTTCTGTTTCAAACATGTTACGAAAATTAATTATTTAAGATAATATTTTCTTAACGCCCTAAGGTAAATTTTGAAGCTATATGTATATTCTACAAGTGTTATGTATTTTATCGCGAAGTGGCGTACTTTATAGGTACTATTATGCACTTTACACTTCACTAATGGATTAAATTCGTATATTGGGCCGTGTAGGTTTTTTGAATGCTCTTCAAAAACCCCCTCCCTCGAATGTACATGCAATGATGAACACCGGTATAGCATTTTGGATTACCTGCTATAACACTGTTGTTACTATGGCAAATTGCAAACTATATATATATGCATCATAAACCAAACACTTAATCTTGGCAGAGATAGGGTCAAAACTCAAAAGCCTTCTTGCTTTTTTGCAGTAAAAGCTATATAGTATTCTTTTTAGCGTGCGATAAAAATTCATTTACACTAAAAGCTTGTACTCGAGTTTTAAGTGTGTTATTAGCAGAACAATGAAAGGTTAAGATTTTAAATTTTACCACTCGTGAGCTCCCTGGGAGAGCTTATTTTCTTGTAAGGGAAGTATCCTGTTTTTACCCCTACATACTTTGCAAATCCTTAGTTTAAACAAAATATTAAGGCAGATCAAAATGCCATCTTTTGTTCCAACCGATTCTTTGCATGGGTTATTGTGGAAATGTGTAATATCGTATACTATAGTTTAACATATTCAATGTGTGTTTCCTATTGATATTGTGGTTAGATCGATAATATGTCGAGTTGAGATGTGTAATATTTGGGAAAGACAATAGGAAATAGAACAAGTGTGTTGCTCACAAGTTGCAAGATGAAGTGCGAGCTTCTAATTTAATTCTTACTGCGACGAATACCTTGTGCTGTTTGATCAGCGTTGGTATGTGTACATGTTATATACAGTGTTTAGAATGAGGAGTAGTCTGCCTAATTCTGTGACCGATGGCTGATGAATGCCAACAAATTATTGAAAATTGTGTAGTCTGCGAACTTTAAACGAAGGAAAAACTAACTCTGATCTTTATTTATACTGGATAACTGGATAGCTCTTTCAATTCTAAACTGTTTTCCCTAAAGGTCCAATAAGGGGAATCTCAATCTTGTTTGTACGATGTTACTTTACAGGGATGATATTAAGTGATTCGCCATCACCGGAAAATGACTGAACGTTACACTGGAATTTTTTTTCAAACTGATCCTTACTATGAAAATAGTATGGATCTTAGTTGAAAATAGCATGGAAATCCAATTTCATACTAATTGCAATTTCCACACTATGGATTTAGTCAGGGATGGATCCAGCATGATCTGGTAGGGGGTGCAAATTTTTTTAGGGGACCCTATTTAAAAAAATTTTCCGGAAAAGTTTTTTTGGAAAGCAACGACCTCTCGACAACTTTTTAGGCAAAAGCTAAATGATGCACTTTACCCGTCCATCAACTTGCTCCACTACTGCAAAGTCTTGCTTGACTACAGTAATTTGAACTGTAATTGTTGTTCACAGTTCGCTTATCATCATGTTATTACTCAAATTACTGAATCTCATTTTGTCTCTAATAATTTTTTGCTTTATCATGAAAAATAGCACCCCCCTGCACCCCCTGGCCATGCCTAGGTGGGGGGGGGGGGGGCTGCGCACCCCCCTGCACCCCCCAGTAAATCCATCCCTGGATTTAGTGATGCAATCGCAAATTCCATACTCTGGGCTGGTTGTCGATTTGAATGCCACTTTGCTAAACATAAGTATAAAGTTTCAACCATTTTCGTCCCCAGAGCCATTTTCACTCGGTCACTCGTTGAAAATTAGGCTCTGGGTAATTCTGGGTTAGACGACTAAAGGGAGAGATCTGATTGGCTTCTCAGAGAACTGCTATTTCCCAGAAGTTGAACAATTTTCGCTAGGAAAACTTTTTCTATCAAAATATGTCAACACAAATACTTCGTTTCTTCGTAATACCACAGTGAACAGAATGAGACATTCTATTAATTAACTGTGGTAATACTTGCCTGTGAAAATTGCGCGGCCATAAGGCCCTGGGAACGAGGATGGAAGAAAACAGAAAGAAACGATTAATTCTGAATACAGCAAATTGGATTTGTTGTCTCTTGCTAGTCCCAGGCCTTTTACTCACCGTCAAATCAACCGTGGGAACCGGTTGATCTATATACATAGCTATGACTGGACAGAATTATGGCGCCTGTGGCGCTTTAATGACGTCATATTTGAAGTGGGTAGACCACCCACTGAGGAATTTCATATGCAGCAAAAATCTCGAGTGTTCAAGTAAGTTGCCAAAAAACACAAATAATATATAGACGTGGGCTTGGAATTTCATTTGTAATGCCAATGGCTTTGTTTTCCTCACTCTTGATGTTTCGGTTATTTCCATAGAAATGAACTCGTGACCACAGCCACAGGTTCGTCATTTCTGCCGGAGGAGCTGTAGTTGCATTCTTTTCATCTGCCCCTGCACCGAGTTCCAAAATATGTATATCTTTCCGCTCGATCCACAAAAACTATTAAAACTATTTTCTGTGACAATCTTTCTGACAAATAGTTTGCTCATGTGGATGAGACGGCAAATAATTGCAGCTTTGAACAGCGGTAACTCGCACAAAAGCATTGATAGGCGTACGGACAGGGGGAGGCAACTGCCCAAAAAAATCTTTGAAAAACCATGGAAATTCAGGCAGATTTAGAAAATATGTTAAATTCTGGTCAAAACTATCAAAGATTTACGTTATGACAGTTAAAGTAGAAAGTTATTAAATTTCTGTTAATAATCCTCCTATCTTTTATGGTTTTTCAGAATTGAAACGAAGTGTAAATGTGTTAATATTTTAGTCTTTTCTCTGGAAAAGTTATATCGAAATGCTTGGCTATGCATGTAAAAAATTCGCGCGGCTCCCGTTATGGGGGCAACGCGAGAATTGAAAGCCAATATTCAAACAAAAATATGTAATAGATTATCCGGATGACGTTGGAAACGTCGAGTGTTTTCGTGAATATATTTCCTGGATTAAGTTTGTCGAGGATTACTTGACTCTAAAGACATTCACTCTTGCTATTCGTTTGCTGTTTATATTGTAATCTTGCCAAAGTAATACGGAAGTAATGCAATTTAATGTGACAACAGTTCGCACTTGAAATTGTCAAAGAAAATCGCATGACCTTGAAAGCTCTCGATTCGGGGATTTTCGCAATACGTAGATTGGCATAACTATGACTGGATTTCACCGTAAGTTCTTTTGTTTTCATATCTTTAACCAAGCTGCGATACTGACTTGTGCGTTTCTGCCCTTCTAATTTATCTTTTATATTTTTTTGAAACGAGTATCACTGACATGATTGTATACGGGTGATTATTTCGACTCGACGCCATTACCTCAGCCAAAATATTGTCTAAATCGCAGTCGCCCAAACCACTGATTTGCCAAACTAAATTCTCATAGTCTGTTAATATATGCCCATCTGGGAAACACACTGTGTGGGATCTGCATGTCCTTTATACATGAGATCTGGGTGAGACTGCATAACTTGTTTCCCACCAATTTTCACCCGCCCGAAGTTTTAATTTCGCCTCTCTAATTAGAACGAGTCCGCCCGGCTAGGTGAGATCGCACCTTGTGCTAGGTGGGATCTCGGTCAAGTGGGATAAATTTTCCATATGAAGGGTTTATCCCACCTTTAAACCGGGATGGAAATTGAGTATATTTTCTTTATTGAACGGCATAGTTGCTTAAACAGATACCACAGAAACATTGATAAACTTAAACAGATATTACTTAAGTTAGGCTGGAAAACACTGGATGAAAGGCGACAAAATCTCACGGAGAATAATGTTATGAATGATGATTGTCCAGAGATAATAGCCAACCGTTTTGAAAAGTGCAATAATCTTAATTATAATTTAAGAAGTAATGGCAAATTTCTAAGACTGTCAAAACCAATTACGAACTCTATGAAGAGAAGTTTTATTTATATGAGGACTAAGACTTGGAATCAGCATCTAAATGATAAATTGTAAATGTTATAATTCTATTTCAATCTTTTTTACTTGTAAATATTACATGGCCCTATGAAAATCAATGTCAATTGATAGGTTACCGTGTATAAAGATAACTTAATACAAATACAAAGTCATAATACAAGGTATACCGTTTAATTACAACAAAAAATATTTCGAAGATGCCATGTTTATACGGTACAATAGGTACAATATTTCAACCCACTGTCAGGTGGGATAAAAACGTGGAGTCATGTATAAACACAGGAAGAACTGGCTCGTCCCACTCAGGCGCGTTTCCCGCCAAACCGTGTTCATTGTGAACATGAGACAGCAAAATTGTTGGTTCAAGTCCCATTCCCACTTCCCAGTACATGGTCGAAATCCCCACTGAAGAAATAGGCAATTCCCGCCTCCCATTTTATATCCCTTTACAATCCTCATCGTATATATGCTTTTACAAGGATTAGCGAACAATGGGAACAGTGTTTACAATATGGTATATAAACATCAAAATCTTCAGATTGAATAAAAAAATGATAATCGTCTCAAGAAATTGATAATATTACTTAAGTTATCATCGGAACGTACAACACCTTCAGATTTGACAAAAAATAATAATGATTAATGTATTAACAACTATTAAACCGTTACTGGAATGTTGGTTGTTGAATTATGTTGGAATATATGGAACGTTAATATTGGGAAGTGGGTGTTAACATTGTATAACATATGGTTTTAGAAATGCTATATTGTTCTATCGCTATTTTTGTAATTTGGCTTTCCTGGTGGCGCCATCTTGAGAGAACATATACGTAACATTAACATTCTTCTGTTACCATTGGTGGTTAATTGTCGATTAAAACCTTCATTTGTTTCAATTAAATTTCAATATTAACGTAATTAGAACAATTTTCTTAATTGTTCTTGTTTGCAAAATCCGAAACGCGCGTTGCACTTTTACGAATACTAAGAAAAAGAGGAACGTTTGGCATTTCCCCAAATTTTAACAGATATGAACACGCGATAACTCGTTTTTTGGCTTATATATTGTATGGTTGTGTTTCAAAATCTATGAAGTGCTAAGCCTGAAGATGTCTATACACGATGTTGTATTTCTGCAGCAAAATACTCAGTAACTAGAGGAGTGTATATTTTTAAGTCAAGAGGAATCGATTTCATGTTCTATAGCTTGTAAGTGCCCTTGAATATTATACAACAAAGAATCGTGGGCAGAGTGGTCGAGAATTAACCAGTTGAAATTTGAATTTATAATTTCATACATAAAGACGAATAAAGAATCTTTACGGAAGTGTGATACTTGTTTTTTTTATATATATATAAAACAATGCATGTAAGCTCACAGATTATCTCTATTGTCTGTAGCTACAAGAAGTCACAACATCATTGTTAATGTTGAAGTATTTTCACCTGTAAAATCGTAAGTGTCAGTTTACAGTTTATCTTTAAGTTGTACATGTTAATACAATGAGTGGCTCAATTTTCATTTGTGATTGTTAATCAATTGTTTTGGTTGACATCGATTGCAGTGTATCTATATTTAAATGTTACCCGGTGCAACGTGTTTCGTGTACTTATTATACTGTTACTATACAGACGCAATGTCAGTATTCTTAATTATAATTATGCTTATGTGATAACACTGCACTGTATATTCAATTCTCACGTTATTTCTATAACAGTCCTCGCAATCTTCGTTGGTAAAATATTGCCGTCGATAGTTCAGCGGCAGTTCTACGGCTATTTTTTGTCGCTTAATGACAATCTTCTTTCTCAATACCTCGGAAATATAGAGGATATATTGCACCGCCTGTGCGCACCATCACTCTTCGTGATACTTTGTTACACGACATTGTTCTACAATTGTTTGTAACGATATGAAAGCAATGTCGTGTGCCGGCAGGACAATGAGTGAAGAATTCTAAAACGCGACTAATAAGCGGAATAATAAAGAGAAATCGACTCAAAATTAACTTTCTCTTTTAATAAATATATATACCCAGATGTTTATAAACACAGCAGTAAAGTTTAATCAATCGAATCAAGAAGGTATCTAGTGCATTCAAAAATCTTCCTCGATTAAAAGCTGCCGTCGATAATTTCATTTTCGCCGTCATTGTCGGCGCCACTTGTCGTTTGCCGTCGAAGAGTGCGAGGACCAAGGTAATGATCAACGCTTGTCCGAAAACTGGGATGACTAGCTTTGAAACAATGCTCCTTGGCAACGAAAAGTTGTCAATTGCTTGTCCGACACGAGCAAATAAAACTTGTCAAGGAAAATTTGCTCGTCTTTACAGGGCATTATCTCGCTGTTCAATGTTACGAATATCTTCCAAATAACTTTTGGTAATTTACTGTGGCACAAGAGTCGACAAAGAGTTGAGGAAAACATTGATCATAATTCATTGATAATTCATATAATAATGAATATAATTCATATAATAATAAATATATTAATTGATAATTTATATAAAAATAAATAGGTTTTTCAACTTATTTACTTCGAAAAACCTATTTATATATATTATGGCTATGAAGGATAAGTCAATAATGAAGTTAGCAGGCAAATATTGTTTCGACGTTTTGGCTGCTTTTGATAGCCTGGTCTAATTACTCACGTGTGCGTGTGTATGCGTAACGACTTATTTAGTTATTTACCCATGTATTCTATGTCCCAATATTGGGACTTTGTTTGAATAAATTATTATTATTATTATTATTATAGTGCAACTTATTATCATATGAAACCTGTCAAATGATGCGAATAGTCTCAGTCTAAAAAAGGATAGAAAGTTATAGCGACAGAGTAGAAATCCAGTTGTGATGCATTATTTGTTTCTTTCTGTGTTTGTGAAAGTTTTTGTTGAACAAAATAATGGCGTAGTCGTGAGAGCAAGCGCCTTCGTGACTCATGTGAAAAGAGTCAGTCAACGCTCTGCCGAAAATCGTGAGTTTTCTCCGGGTGCTCCGGTTTCCTACCACAGGGAAAGTAAACAGGGTTAGGTTAAACACAGCTAAGAAAGTAATATCACAATTGTTGTAAAGATAAAAAATCTAGGCTGTAATTTGTAGTTAGGTAAGCTTATAATACTTGATGTCAAGCGCATTTGATAATATCCACATCTACATTTGCGCTATAGAAATGCTAATCATCATCGTATATAGATACATATTTATTTGCCCACAAAACGATATATATGTACAAAGCATATGAGAATATAATAATATAAAGGGCTAGGGACCTTTGGAAATCCAGTTGGACTTTTACGTAAGGCCCCTATAAAAGCAATATACTATTTACAAACAGAAATAATTGTGAAAAGACAAGAGTAATTTGCAATATTTACATCAATCAGATACTAAATAATATAATTTTGCTTTTTTCTTAAAAGAGAGATATGAATTAGTATTTTTGATATCTTGATTAATACTATTCCATAGAGAGACGTCTTTGTTGAAGACAGTTTTTCGTATATGCACATTAATCATTATGTCTTACATTTGACAACTAGTCTCACGCCCGTATTCTAAAAGCTCACTCACACTCACACTCAATGAGTGGAGGTTCAATCTGAGCTTCTCTTGAGTGTCATTGCTGTTTTTGAATAGCTGGAGGGTGAGCAGTCACATAGTAAACAGGGACCGCGGAGACGGGGGGCTGGGGGGGCTTTAGCCCCCCCACTTTTTTTGACAGCCAAAATTATTAAAATAGAAATCTAAATGAAACTTTCTAAATTAATTAATTGGGGGTTTTATTGATGATTTAGCCCCCCCACTCTCTAATACGCTCCGCGGGCCCTGGTAAGGTACGACACTAGCCCTCCAGCTATTCAAAAACAGCAATGACACTCGAGAGAAGCTCAGATTGAACCTCTACTCATTGAGTGTGAGTGAGCTTTTACAATACGGGCGTCAGTCTTAGCTGAAGACACTAGACTCAGCCAAGTTCATATTACTGAAATCGGGGAAGGGGCTTTCGCCAACTTAGCATTTCCGCCAATTTTCTTTGTAATTTCATTCATCCAGCTATTCTGACTTACAGTATCTGACGCATGCGCGTTACGGCACATATACTTTATTCATTTAATCAATACTTGCGGTGTGCTCTCACGCTGAAGCTATGACGTCATAGCACCTTGAAACAATAAACATTGATTTAGTTATTTATGTTTATATTGTATTTCTTTAATCCCCTGTTTTGATACACCCTAAACCTCTATCTTAAATGTAGAGACAACACCAAAGTCTGTTCCTTGATGGATTTAAACTTTCTGTGCGTTAATCGACATGCGTAGCTGTGAAAAATGCTCGATTACACGGAATGCAACACTTATTCCCAAGGGCCGTTGCTCTAAATAGCTTAACAATCAAGTTTAAACCATAAGATATCTCAAAGTTGCACTGTCAATTAGGTAAAAGCACGGTTAATAGAATATACATGGTTTGGAGATGAAAGTACAATATAACTCATTAACTATGTTGGTTTCGGTTTATGCAAGAATTTGGTCCTATCTCGTCACGTGTGTATTGTATTTTTTCCCGCACAACCAATAGCAATGTTTAAATTGAGCATTTGTTCAAGTTACGGATGGATAACTCAACCACAAACTTGTTATTGGTTATTTGAGCGAAAATACAATACACACGTGACGAGATAGGACCAAATTCTTGCATAAAGCTGGACAATAACATATATAGTTAATGAGTTATATTGTACTTTCATCGAGTCTCCAAACCATTTATTAAAATAACTGCGGTAAAAGGAAGTTTAATTTTCTCCTATACGTAAGTGCATGATTATATCTCATATAGCTTAATTCCTGTTTCAAAGTATATTCTATTGCCTATTGTGCAAAAGGTCCGCATTTGGCAAATTCTTTGGTTATCTTTGGAACCATTTTTATTGTACTCAATAATTGGACTTCTCGTTTGACCTTTATACAACAATTTTAATGAGGACACAAGCACACGCCAGATTTGCCAGTCACGTGACCTTGGTTAGCTGTTCTTAATGCTTTTCCAACGCTATCATGTATTCTATTTAAGTTAAAACATAGTTGAAAGACTCAGTAAATGTAATTTAGTTTATCGAGTTTCTCACCCATTGGTGAGCGGATTTCCCAACAGGCTATTGAAGGTACCTACGATTTAACGTCCTTTTCCCGGAGAAGAAGTCTAACCATTTACTTATATCAATATAAAGGTAGCCCTTTCTCCCCAATTGTTTTAAGACCTTTAGTTGAGGTCCGACTAAGAATTGAACCCGGGTCTCCTCCCAGCTTGAAAGACAAGCATGGTGATCACGACATCACAAGTGCTGGTTTACTAAACCTATATTGTTAATCTAGAGCTTGAAATTTCCTTCATAACAATGTGCGATTGCGAATTTTCATCAACTTTAGCTCATCCTCGTTTTCCCTGGGTTTAACGGTCTATCGAATGCAGGAAGGGGCACTTCGAGCAAGCGAGCGTGTTGGTTAAGGGATTAAAGAGCTCCTATGTTTTAAAAATATGAGAACAAAGTACCGATACTACCCCTTTAAAGCGTCGACAGACAAGTATGGAATAAAAAATGACTATTGAAGAGTCAAATCACGTAGGTAAGCCAAACTAAGGCCAAGTTCAGACGTTGAACTTTTCCGATGCAAATGACATGGCCTTGAATCACCTATAAGTTGATTAGCTGTGCTTGGCAAATTAGGAATTTTGAACTTCCTGTGTGCAAAACGAACAGTTTTATATATAATGTGCAATTGTAATAAATATTTTAGATAATTATTAGATTTTTAGTTTAATTGTATACTATAGCCCTATATATCTATAATTCAGCCGAGGAGTTTTCCGAGGCTGCAAGTTTTAAAGTTTATTCAACTTATCAAATCATTATATCCTGAATTGACCAGCACTTGTGGTGTCGTAGAACATATGAACTCAAGTAGGGAGTGGTGTTGTGGTCATCATTGCTTGCCTTTCAAGCTGGGAGACCCGCGCGGGTTAAATCCTTGGTCGGACCTCTACTCGAGGAGAAAGTATGCACAATCATGCTACTTTTACATTGACATTAATACATGGCTAGACTTTCACGTCTTCTTGGATAAGGACGTTCGTAGGCACCTCGGATCCCCTATCAATTGGGCAATGGAATGTTGAAGTTGGGAAACCCGTTCTTCAATGAGTGAGAAACTCGATACACTCAAATTCTCACTGAATAGTATGCAACGTGTGCAAGGTGGAAATATATTATAGTTCATTAAAAAAAAAGTGAAGTGGCTTCGGCCTCATTTTCTGGTCTTCCTCACTTCCTTCCTTGACTGAAACTGGCATATGTTGTATACAGTAAAAAAGCATTCTTCATGAATAGCAGTTGCATTCACTGTACATTTCACACTGGAGAAAAAATGTGAAATCCAGACTATGTATACAGCAGGCATTAAAATAGCGTGTCCTTGTACACACTTTGTGTCCTTGTAAAAGGCGAATGTGCCCTTGTAAATTGAAAAGTGTGTACTTGAAAATATATTAAACTGAAAATATATTAATGTAATCCACGCAAAATGGCCGAAGATTTTGCAAATTCTGTTCTCAGAACTCTGGAAATGCCATTTCAGAGACCCCCTTAAAAGCTCGCGTCTTCGACGCTAAACTTCTGGCTTCGCCACTCGTTCTCGTGTGTCTGCGCATTTATACCAAAAATACGCCTCTGAAGGCAAAGTGTGTCCTTGTAAAAATTCCGTATTTTAATGCCTGGTATATAGTTTGCAATTGCATACTCTATCCATAGTATGGAAGACCTACACTGATTATTATGGATAATCAAAATCCATTCTATTTCCAATGGAGGTCCATACAATTTCCATTCTATGGCCTTCTATGATTTTCAAAAAAATTTCCAATGTCATGGAGTTGAGTTCATCAAAAACGGTGACAAAATAACACTATTGGATTTAATTCAACTTATTGAAATTTACAGTGTTTGAGGTTCATGCATTCAATTAACACGTTAGGCAGAATAGGTTCTATATACCCTTGATATAATTATTTAATTAATAAAAAGCTTTCATCCAGGCAATTTATGTTTCGCATGGGTCCAAACTATTGCGCCTATTAACTCATCAATAAGCAACGTAAATTACTATTAAGAACTTGTCAAAATCATAGAACTTTGCGTGTGGCCAGGTTTTAAATTCCAGCAGAAAAAATAAACTTGTTAAATGTTTGAAATATGTGTTTGGCATTGAAATTTGGCATTACCCATGGTATCATCGTATTATAAAAGAGTGTCTGGAATTCAGGAAGACTTACAATATAGTCATAGTTTCAACTTGCGAGAAGCATCATGCAGGAAATGAAAATGTGCCTGGCCCTCATATGCTCTCTATATAATAATTAATAAATCACACACAATTTGAAACAGTGAAAAAGATATGTTTTTAATATGCTTGCATGGTATCACTTCTCAAACCAAGCAGAAGTTATACAGAGAAATCCATGAAGCGAAAATTGACTTAATCTATGGACATTTATTACGTGAGAGAGCTTTTTTCAAAAAGTTGGTTTATATCCAAAATTAATTGGTAGAAAATTCTACGTTAGTTAATTGATTATAAAATGTAATCTTCAACTGTACCGCGTATGACAATTAAAATGACTTAAAAAGTTAAGCTTTATTAAATTGCCGCTTCTCATGCAGTAAGTGTTATACTGGGCAACAGATGGTGCTCAATTAAAGTCAGAACTTCTCATTACTGCAAGAGCAAGCAAACGTTTTTGAAATTTCGGAATTCAATATTTATTGGCCACACTAATAGTTAGTTGCTGGTTTACCATCGACTGGTGTTCAGTGAAACTCATTAATTGTAACAATTGCAACAATACGTTTAATTAGTAACAAATTACAACACAAATTAAAACTGTAACTTTAACCAAAGCATATATGACAATTAAACGACTTAATATATGCCTAATCCATTGAATATAGGCATACCCTGATGCTCTTATTGTGACATTTATTGCAATAATACCTTCAGTTGGTCACAAATTATAACACAAATTAAAACTGCAACTTTTGTTCGTGCATGCTATTTGATTGTCACGCTTGGGACACCTATGGCGTTATTGCCTTCGGGTAGATCTCAATTCTCAGTGTTAATTGGAATGTGTTTGAATTGTGATATTTTTTTAATGAATTAGTTCTTACTGGGAGGGGTATTAGGTGAAAACTTTAAGTATTATTTACGTGCTGTTTGCTTTAATATATTTACCCCCCAGATTAGTTCAATTAGTGGTGATGAAAGCCGATATAAGAGATAGCGCTAACAGCGTTGCCGTCCAATGAAGGGTAGTGGGGTATATAAGAAGTCTGTGGTTGTAGTACACACTACAAGAGATTGGCCATTAGAGAGAAGACTCGTAAGAGGAAAATAAGTTCACAAGGAGAAGAAAACACTGTCATTGTTAAATTAAGAATCTGCATATTTTTTCTTGGATTCTGTTTATGGTACGTGTTATGCTGCTTATTCTATTGTATTTTAATTCTTAAGTCTATCAGTACTAACTTAGCGTACATGCAAAGCTCGCGCTTTTATTGTTAGACTCAGAATCAACAATTGCTATATAAACGATTGCTTATATACTATACGGTGGGTACCAACAGCAAGATGTATAGCATACGACTAAAAATGATAAATTGCTAAAGAACCATGCATGAAAATTGTAAAAAGATTACCCTTATATAGCAACCATCTGGTGGAGAACGTATATAAAAATATTTCGGAGCCTTGTGAGTTATCATTGCCATCTTCCCAATAGTTGTTTTGTATTTTCAATTATGCAATTTTTAAATGATGTTCGGGAAAGTATTGTACAGTAAAAAGGTGAACAATCTACTGTTCAAGACTTTTGGAGATTTGTCAAGCTTCTTTGGAGACATATATCTCAGTTATATAGTGAAGGTTTAGTGCCCGAGAAATGGGCTTGTAAGTTAGACTGTTTTGCCCACTTTTACTAATCTTGATGATCTGATAAAGAAAGTTCAAAACTGGCAAAAGGAATGAGCGTTTAATCAGTGTTTGTAAATTTGACCAAAAGTGAATCGTGGAATCGTGCGGTAACTCGCTATATAAATGCATGCTTTTGTTGTTGTTATCACATTCTATACACATGATCAAAACTCTCAAGTATAGTTCCTGTTTACAATCTCGTTTACTAAGCTGAGAACCGTATGATTTGAAGATCTTTATTCGCTTTCGTAATAAGATCATGCGTATAACACTCTCATGTAAGGGGCGTGGCAAGGCTTATAACAGTAGTAAGTTCTTTGTAAGATAAGGATGGCATTTATATTACGCAAAGTTCGTCTATTTGTTCGTAAACGTCTACGTTTTTACTCTTTCTTGTGAAAATTGGACTGTGTTTTAGCATAAAAACACTTTGGATTGATAGGGATGCATCTACTTGAAAAATACAAGGAGAACTTCGACGTTTCGAGGCCCTTTGTCGCAGGAACTCAATCCATGGCTGTATATTTTGTGTTTTAAGTTGTTAAGCTCGTGTTTTATAAAGCTAATATTACACTCCCAGCACGTCCGTAATATTATTGGATTGCTTAAATTCCACTTGTCTTCGGAACTCCAAACTTGCTTTTTTAACCACGCTGGTTGCTTTATACAAGCACTTAATTAGATTTTTTCGCTACCTTTCAAGTGCGAACACACTAGATACACTTATGGGTTTTTTTATACTACTTGTTGTTGTTTTGTTGGGTCAAAACTGGTTAGATAAACAAGAATAGCTTGTTGCTCATACTGTTAAAATATCGTTTGCCCAGTAGTTGGCTTGTGGCCATTTGACCTCCAGAAATGTTTTATTCCGTGAGTTCAATAACACGTTTCCTTCTCGCAAACAAAATTGTCGTTTCTTAATTAGTTTTCTTGTTAAAGGAAGTGGTCATGCGTCGTTTAATCGTTCGAACATTGTATTAACGTAGAAAAGGATTATCCTTTAATTGTGTTGAAACTCCCACTATCCCGTGTTGGACTCGCGTTGCACAGTGAGATGCACGACCGCAAAAGGGGGACCGCAATCGACATGTTGTGAATTCAATCGTGTGCGCACGCTCTGACACAAGCACGATGTAGCAAACAGGAAAGGTCTCAGCCATTCGTTGCCCAATTACGCACGATTTTGCGAAGTCATTGTTGACTCGCAGTTTGATATAATATTTATAATATAAGGATTAGCTTCTTGATACAGGATTAATGTAATTATTTGTAAACATAAAACATATGTTTGGAAGTTTCGGGATCTTGTTGTTTGACTTCCGAATTGTAAAATGCACCCTTATTAGGCTCCATAGGCGTACGGGAGGGAAAAATAGGGGGGCAGAAATAAATTTGCCCGAATTTCTTGCATTTTGCCCGACCAATAAAAATATGCATTTTCGATTATTATCTTACATATTTCTTGCTCTTCAATTTATTTCCCCCAACTTTTTGTTGGACCAGTGAGCTCTATATATACTGGAGCAAGAACTTGAGTCATTCGGCCTATGAGAAAAGTGAAGCCAAGATGGCGGCCATTGACGTCCAATAGCTTTGAAGGTTGTAAACAGTTTTTATACCATTTTCCCAGCTAATTCCAGTTTTGTCTAACGGACCGTATCGCTAAACAAGTTATCAGTTCATAAAACCATAGTGTCGGTCTTTAAATCGATGTCAAAATACGAAATTTCGGCATACTCCTTGCCAAGTTAGTAGAAATTGAAGGAGCTATTGGGCGTCAGTTCCAGTCCCTTTCTATTGTTTTTGTCCGCGCGGTTAACACGAAACTGGCTTCGCTTTTTGGACTCGAGTTCTCGCTCCAGATATATATGCAGCTCACTGGGTTAGATAAACAAAATTGGATGATATTGGCCTCATTTGAACGGGGCTTTAATCTTAAAGAAAGCTGTGAATTCATATAGTGATACAACTACATGAAAATTACAAGGAAAACTTCAAGTTTTAAACTGTTTTTCAAGAGGTTTGGTTGATAAAACTATCAATCCCAAAAGAAGAATGAAAAATTTAACTTAAATGTAGGCCAATCAAAGGCGAACTTAGGAAAAAATTACCATCATGTTTGTATCCACATATGCAAAATTCTCGTGAGTTAAAATTAATTATTTTTGAATAATTTCTCAGTAAAATACATAACACAACTGTTGAGATCCTTACGGCTTACCATTCACAAACTATATACACTCGGCTCAAGTTTGTATACCTGATACAACACAGCCTCTCGTGCTATATTACATAATATTACATTCTCTCCGCATTTCTAAGCAGCGTACAGGAAACAGGTTTTTCTAACCAATTCAAAGAAGCTTTAACAATAAAGTGTTGAGCTGATCCTTGAGTTGAGAAGTTTTTTTATATTGTACATTGATTTACTTCGTGCTTATTATTATTACAAACATTTTCCCACACTTAATATTCACAAAGTATATTATTTTTTGTCGGTTTTCATGCGCTGTTTTTAATGTAAATATTTATATTTATAATCAGTTCCACGAAGGGGTCCTCAATTCGACTGACCCATTACCCAATTTAACGTGGGAACTTTCGGTTTAAATCAATTTAGTCAATGTACGTAAGTGGAAAATATTAAATGACTGATGCCAATATTGAACTGGCTACAGCTCCCTCCCGACCAGGATTTTGCAAGCTCTTACAGAGAAAACCTGTAACGGATTACAAAACGTTTCAAAAGAATATGTCGTTACATTGTTATATGATGCATCAATGCATGTCAAGAGAGTAATTCGTCCAAATCAAATTGATTTTCGGAGCGACACGATCCAATTATCGTTCTAATCTTGCTCTTTCAAAGGGGCTAATTATGGATGTTAATCTCATAAAGTTGCAATAAGCCATTAAAACGTCAAAAAATTTGGATTTATACAAAATCATTTCCTAACATCTTATGACCTTGGTTGCATAATTTAAAATTTATTTCGCAACTATATTTTGACTATTTCTGATATGACTTTCCATTTGTATTATAGGCTATTAGCCTAAAGTCATATAGGGTTACTTGGGATTGAAGATGTAAATAGATGGATATGACATGAGATTATCAGATTACAACCAAAGTGGTTGAGAGTAGTTAATCTCGTCTTGCTGTTCCTTTCCGCCATATTAAGAAGAACATGTAATCAGCATTCAATTTTCTTATAAACAAATACTAATTGCCAATTAAGACTTATTATCCAATTATATATTTTTAACCATCACGTTTCACAATGTTCTGGAAGTAAAAAATGAGACTAATAAATCATAAAACATCCTGATTGACCAAAAAGGATAAATCCTCTATATATAGGCTAAAGAGCACTCTTTAGGCCTGATTCCACGAGCGCTTTTTCTCGGCGAAATGCGAAATATTTCGCCTGTTTCTTTTGAATTGCGACTACTCGAATAAATTATTTCTACTTGATTGATCACAATTCAAAAGAAACAGGCGAAATATTTCGCATTTCGCCAAGAAAAAGCGCCCGTGGAATCAGGCCTTTTTAATTAATTGGACCGGTGCTTCCACATGAGTTTGACTTGTCGAGTTTGACACCACTGGTTTCAGAACGCATGAAAATTTTCATTCGTTATATAGTTAACAGAGTATATGTTATAAAGAATATATGAATGATGCTTGTGATGTTACTCTGAGTGTATATCCACACTGGGCAAGCTTGAAAAATATGCCTGGCCACGGTGGGAATCGAACCTACGACCTTTGGAACACTAGCCCAATGCTCTGCCAACTGAGCTACGCGGTCAGGTCGGTTCGAGTATGTGATATTTTGGAACAGAATCTAGTTCCTTCGACATCAATGTAGCTCAGTTGGCGAGCATTGGGCTAGTGTTCCAAAGGTCGTAGGTTCGATCCCCACCGTGGCCAGGCATATTTTTCAAGCTTGCCCGGTGTGGATATACACTCGGAGTAACATCACACAAGCATCTTATTCACCTGAGTACGTTACACCAACACAGAAAAAATCACAATATATGAAAATTTTCCATTGAGCAAAGACGCTCATAATTGTAGTGCCTCCATCTTTCCATATAGAAATTCCATCTGTTTTCTTTTGTTTCGCCAGTAATGTTCCAGTTTTCAATAATAGAACCTACATGCTAATTTTGAATATTATGATCTTTATTGCAAATAGTTAATCTGTGCAGGAGCACTCTCTGGCAACAGTGATTTTCAGAGAGGTCCTGGAAAACGTTTACATATATTCACAGATTACAATAAGGTGCTAATTTTAAAATATAGATTGCAAAGTCCTAAATTCTAATTTCAAAATATAGATTCATGTGTAGATCTCCAGCCGATAATTTTGCTAAAATAAAGGTTCAGCTAGAGAATTGCGCTTAAGAGATTAAACACTATTTGAATTTCTAACGTATAGACTAAGGTTGTTCCATTCCTTAACGGCCTGACACTTAAGCCTTTGCTTGCCCCAGTTTTGCTCAAAGGCACTTAAAGATAGAGACATCTGTGGTATTTTATGTTGTAAATAGTACTTAAATTGAACTATAATATCAGCCCGGAATTACGTCAGAAAGTGTCAGAAAAGTGTATTGGGAAGGCAGATTACGGCATCATATAATTAGTCAATAGTTTTGGTAATCAGATAAAGTCTGATATATCTCAAACTCATTAATAATTCATGAGTAAATTAGCCAACCATATTGCTTTATATGTTGCTCACATGAATTACTGGATACTTGGTGAAGTATATTGATCCAATCCTAGGACTGGGTCAAAATTAATTCACCTCACTTCCAGTCCTCGGCTTTGCCTTGGACTTGATCAACTTGCGCGGACTTAAAATCTAGTCCAGTCCTCAATGGAGAGTTTTTTATGTCGCTCCACTATATATGCAGAAGATGGTGGTCAACCCATGCACGGTTAGAAAATAATGTTACTCCTGTTTATTGAATATGTAATCTTGTACGTTTACTTGCACCATGCAACTAAATGTCCACAACACCAGGATACACTGTAGAAAACATACATTGACTTAAAATAGCTCGGTCTTTTCCAATTTTCATACACATATCGCATGCAAGTAGCACTGAACGTCACACTGATTGAAAAGACTTTCTGCAATTCCAAAAGCTGTTATTCAAACTAAGTTCTTATGCACTATCTGCCAATGTGAATGATCTACATAGACAGCAGTCCAAACACTCTTCGAGTTAAAATAGCTCTGTCTTTTCCATATATACTGTATATAGCAACATAGCAATTGAGTAAGACTTTTTGTTATTACAAAAGCTGTTATAATTCATAACTAAGTTTTTACTACAGATTTTATAGTCCAATCTTATTCAATATCGACATATAGACAGCAGTCCAAATACTCTTCGAGTTAAAATAGCTGTGTCTTTCCCATATATAGCAACATAGCAAGCAATGCTTAATTGAAAAAGACTTGCAATGCGGAGTCGATTACAATAAATCACTGCGCGGCTTTTAAGCTTACAGGAAGAATGCGTAATTAAAGGGCATGTTTTTCGCGAGTTAAAATGCATGGAATGCGATCAAAGATTGAAATGTTTTCTGGTTGCTTTAGAACTAACAAATCTGCGGATAAATTAATCAGTTTTTTGTTGGCATTAGTTTCTCCTGGGAGAGCCGAATTTTAGAAACAGTAGCATGTTAATAACTTGTGAGTAAAAATATCCTTTTATAATTGGGATTTCATCGTGTCTATGGGATTGGATGTCAATTATTATTCGCACCCATAGTGAGCCACTGCAGGAAGCTATTTAACTCATTTGGCATATCACGAACGTATTAGATGCATGAAAGCTTCCAGCTCCTCTCAGCTGTGTCTTATCTTGATCAAGGCTCCTGAAATCATTCCACACCTCATTATACCCGTTTTAACTGGTGAGTTACGAGTAGTACAGTAGTTTTCATTGTAATTGATATGGCATTTGCGTTGCGTATATCATCAATCGTGAGGTGCATAGCTAGTTCTTAACTATTCTTCTGTCGCTTTGAATCGCGTGCCATAATTATCGCATGTCATTGTTCTGCTATTGACCGTATCTACAACATTCTGTTGTGTATATTGATGTGTTTTTACTCATATTTACATAATTTACTTCCATAATAGTATTTACTATAAGTTGGTTTTTTTATCTGGGCCATTTAGCGTGCCCTTTGGAACGCCTATTGACTAGTGTAGAGCAGCGATGAAAAATATGGAGTGCTTTTCTCAAATAGGGTATTAAATTGTGCAGTTATTATATAGATAGAGACTAAAATAGACTCAATTCAGACATGAATAGACTTCGAAGCGGACGTGCCTGAAATGATTTGTATCTAATGGCAGGTGCTTAAATGATGATATTGTGCTTGCTATAAATATATGACCCCCAATGCCAAACGACAGAGGATCGTTTGCTGCATATATAGAAAGTTAGGTTCTGGGATAGAATTTTGGAAACGTGGAAGGTCAGTTGCATATTTTTTAAAACTGTTAAAGCACCGTTTCAGGGCTACTATAGTGTCTAGACCCTCTAAAGGTTCATGAGTTTAAATTTTCTTTCATATAATTTGTTTCTAATGGAAAAGAGTTTGTTTCTATAGCCAAATGTATATTAAGTTGTAAAATGTGTAGCTCTAGTCTTAATGCAATTAGAACTATTTTAATTTGTTACATTTTTTCATTCACCACAAAATGAAAAGTTTAAATTTTTCCGCTGAGATTTAGAGAGTTAAATCGTGAATGAGAAGTTTCCATTCCGGCTTGTGAAAAAAAACAACAGATCTTAAGATTTTTTCAAAGATGAGGATTAAAAGTTTGGCCCCCATAATCTCATTTGGCAAATTTGTGTTAAAAGACATGTTTCATAGAAAAGTATGGATGTATATGTGTGTAAAGTGCAGATGTACTATATAGCATGATATACAATCTTGTTTTCGTGAGGCAAAGGGAAGTCTTACAAAGAAATCGGTTTTGGATCAACCAATTAGCCTTATAGTTGCTTATACGCATTGGTCAGAGAGAGATAGGCCTATTTATGTTGATGATATATTACTGACTATTAGAATTCGTGGCAGGACCATTCTTGCTACTCTGTTGTAATTCAAAACACCATCAGTTTTAACGTACTTTGCATGACATGTGTCTTTGAATGACACCTGGCCTGCAGTTGAACGAATTCCGTTGGTCGATTCACCATTCTCTAATGCATTCTGGAAATATAATAAATATGTCCTCGAATTTCAGTTGTGGTTCTATGACTTTTACTCAAGCTCTTAACAAAACCTCTTTGTTGCTAAATGTAGTGATCCCATTTAATTTTCAAAATTATCCTGGAGATATTTCATTTGTTGACTTGACTTTTTCAAAACGAGCAATTAAACTATTTCCCGTCGATATTGATCAAGTTCAAATATACATATAAGCAATTCTATAACTTCAGTATTTTACTTTATTGGCATGCAATGAATTGTAAAACGCCAGGATATATTTATACTTCATTTAGTTGTGTTTGGGAGAGTTATGTTAACTAAATGCATGTCGAATAAACGCAGTTTAATAGCATAAGGGAAGACAGAGGGGAAAATAAAAAGATGCGTGTGTGGCATAAGCTTCGACATATAAGGCCACGCTTATATTTTTTGTTGGATTACGGATTTCCCGACCTACATGCATTTTTAGAAACCAAACTGAGAAAAGTGTAAATGCCGCCCATAAGTTTTTGTGCATTGTTTTTTTTTCATCCGGCCATGTTTTAGAAAATATTAGTAAGATCCGAGCAAGACAACCAAAAATATAAAATATGGGAATTACACAAGTCAGGTAAAAGAGGAGAAACCATTAGCGATATATCGTTTCGAGGACTGGAGATTTGTTTCATTAAAGTTACCATCTTCAGTCTTTTTATTATATCTACTTTATAATATAATCATATTCTCTTATACTCTTATACATGTACTTTGAGTATACATGACACTGTACCTGCATGGTATTAGACAATTCATTTAATTTTTTGCCCTCCCGCCCTTTAATGGTGCATCATAGTGAGCAAAATCAATAATCTAACAAAAAAAAATAGGTAAGCTTGGGCGAAGAAAACCTTTTCTAATGCCCAGAGGCAGAGGTAATATTTTCTTTTGTATTCCTAATTCCTATACTTATCTTACTACAGTAAACCCGTTTTTATATTCCAGTTTGAAACTGGACAGACTATAGATATGCATATAAGTGTTCCCATATGGAAAGCTGTCTGCAATCTCGAAGTGTCCCATTGAAGCCAGTGATTAATGTGGACATATGCGTTGTAATATCTTCATTACGTATTTAGTGTTGTGTCGTTACCTCTGTTGGGGCCCTATATAGATGTCAATGGTAAACGCTACGCTGAAAACACTAGCAAAAATAGACTGGCAGTTTTTGCTGAGTACTGTCTAATGGTATTTCATTATTGACCATTCTTAATGGGACTAATGCTTAATATCGATTAGTTATCAAAGTTTTGGCTGTATGAATGGGAACTAAATGGAAAAAAGTTTGGTAAAATTGGAATCGGCAGTCGCTCGATGACAAATTAATCTTGACTCTCGGCCATTTTATTTCATCATTCCTCTGTGGGGAAGCTGATTGTAATTGATTCGGTATTTCAAACGTTTGCTATCAATCGCGACGACGTGAGCATTTTCACCACGCATCATGATAGTTTTAGATGTGAGTTCTGTAATGATTGAGGACGTTAGTTTATCGAAAAAAAACAATATGCTGCGATATATGGATGTATTTATAAAGAGATTTTCCTTTTTTTTTCAAAAACTGTAATTTCACTAATGCGTGCAAGCTGAGTAATTGATTGTCGTTACTGCGTTATTTTTACTCCTTTGTCGAAGTTATTTCTACTCTTTCAGTGGAGTTAAATTGACTCCCCAGTGGAGTAAAATTTGGAATACGTGTTGGAGTAGAATAGATGTAACTCCTTCTTTGTATTATATTCAATTCCAAAATTTTTACTCCCCCAAAGGGAGTAATTTTAACTCCTACAGTGGACTCATCCAAATTAAAAGTGTACTAAATAGATTGTTATGATTGTAAGATTTATATCATACAACGCGGGAAGGAAATATCAAACACCTCAACACACCTTTGCTCGGTGTTTTAGTGCATGGTTCAAACCACAATGCCATAAACTCCTCATCAAGATATTGATCACAGAAAAACTCTTTCAGAGTCGTTCTCAAGGGTCGTTTTGGCCCGAGAACATGAAAAACGAGGCGTGCCAGACCTATCCCACTTTTTTCAGGTCTGGGCGTGGCGGGGTTATTACCAACATCATTCATTACATTTTTATCAGTTTCGGCATTTCCGTTAGCCATGACCATGTATTCCATAAGTGATCGAGGGTACTGTCGCCTTGGCGTACGTAGCGCCGGAACAAGCCATAAATGGTCAATATATTGTTGACTGGTGATCTTATTTTTTAGTTTTCACAATCTTAAGAGGCGGAGAATGTGTGGTGTTTAATCACTCAATAATTGGGGGTTTTGAGACAGTAATTTAATATATAGATTCTATTCAAGAACATAGACTTTTCATTCAGTGGATTAACTATATTAGGACTGTTTTCATCAATAATACGAGCAATATACGAAGCTGACGGGTGAATTATGTGTGATGTTGTTAGATGAGTTGTGAAGTCCCCCGTACAGCTTCAGGTGGCAAAGTGGTTAGCGCATGCGCAGTGGTTCGATACCAGTAATATACTGTTATCTGGTTATAATTTTTCCTCAGTTGCATGTTGGAAGTTCGAGTTTGACTCTATACCAAACACCACATGTTTTGTCAGGAAACTCTGGATTCCTCCTGTAGTGACATTGAACCGCTAAAAGATATCGCTTATTGGACCTCTTGGGAGAACAGTTTAGAAGTGATAGAGCTATATCCAGGATACATAAAGTTAGATTAATTTAGTTTAATAGAGAGGCTCAGATTTAACTTCCACTACTGCTACCATTAAGGGACCATTAATCAATCAGGTGCATTTGAAATATTTCGTAAAAAGTCAGCTAATGGGGGAAGGAAACTTATTTAAAGCGGCAAATTTTAATGACCAAGTTATAATTCATATTTAATTGCTGTCGTAATTATAGTGCCTAATTCGCGTGTCTAAAATAAATATCCCTCCTACCTGAGTAACTTGTGCCGACGCAAAATTGAATACATTTCATTCTTCGGCAATTTGTGTTCGGATATTAATAGAGCTCGACGGGCAAGTGCTTCCGACGTACCTAGTTACTAGTAAAATGCAAATCAGTTATTAGCTTGGCGTTTTGTAATTCGGTAAAAACGCGCAGTGAGATATTAGTTGCCTTTCGGTAATTTCTATCCGCACAGATAGACATTGTTCGCGTATATTGTTCAATTAAGCAAGATATATGTCAGCGAGTCCCAAACAAATTCAACCAGTATGCTTACCCAATCTATGACCATGTTCGTAACACGAGTTTAATGAACTCAACACAATATACTCCTACGGTTTGATTATGGAGATATTGCCTAATTTACTCACGTTTATGCGCAGCTGTGAAGGAAATTGTTGAAGTATTATTTAGCGCTATTATCAGTAGTGAATTCTTTTGCCACGTTTTTGTTTATTTCACATAATGGATCGTGCGTGTGGTTATTATTCTACGCACTTCAGTTTCGATGTAATCCTCTTTGACTGAGCAGTTTTGACTGAGTAGTTTTGACTGAGCAGTGTTTTTGTTTTTGCTCCTTTGTAAACGACTTTCTGTTCATCATGTGCGTTGACCTTGCTCTTTGCGCGCAAATGGACCTTGGCATATTCATAGGCAGTGTAGGCATACTATACATATCAACACTAAACCGCTTATACTGGATACACCTGAACTGTTCTCGGAGCCATAGGTTCAACAGACATATCCCTTATTGGTACACTGTTACTATAAAAGAGGGAATTGGAATACCCGCTGAAATACTCCCGCACTCTACGGCTTCTCACATGCAACTGAGGCGAAGTTATGATACAAAAAATGCATATTGCTGAAATTGATCCTCGGATGCAAACGTTAAAGGCACAGGAAAATCTGAGCCCCCTGCATCTGACAGATCGATCCACCTCTGATTATTTTTCTTATTACGTGTTCGAGAAATCTATCACTCGGTTAACACTTAACCATTTAATCTTCGGGTGTTAAAAAAAGCATCGCAGTAAGGGGTCTGAGAGGGGGTACTTTGACTGCATATATTGCAATAGCATTTCCTGTTTAGAATTCATCAGCTCATCATTATATCGTCTATTCATCTCTAGGTCAAGCTAAGATGGAGTTCAATGTTATCTTATGTCTTCTCGCCTGTTTTGTTGCAACGACGCAATCTCGTAGTCTGGCTAGGGATTCGAGCGCGTTCGATCCGCGAGACAGCGCACGGTTTAAATCTTTCGAAGCAAAATTCCTCCAAATGCTCGGAATGAAGGAAAAACCTCACGTCACGGGGAAAATTGTTGTGCCTCAGTACATGTTGGATCTTTACAACAGTCGAGTGAAAGACCCCGAATATATCTCCACTAATTTGGTCTTCAAAGATTTTGCAACTACAGCAAACACGGTTCGGTCTTTCTACCACAAAGGTAAGAACTTCTTCATACCTCTTGTTTGTATACAGCTACATGTGAGTTTTCTTGCTGCATATCGACGGTTTATAACTGCGTTTCACTAAACACTGTTTTGCAACAAATGGTGTTCAAATCGCAATTATCCGAATGAGACGATAATATTCTTCACATTATAATGTTGTAGACTTGTATATGCATGTTAGCTCGTAGTTGATAACTTCCTTGCTCCTATCAGTTTCAACATTTCCGAAGTTGACAAGCACATCTGCTGCGTTTCTGCTGCACTTCAATAGAAAATACTTGTCGAAAAATACCGTCAATAGAAAATACTTGTCGAAAAATACCACATAGAATCAGACGCTACACTTTTGTTTTTTGGCTAACCTCAATGGAACATGTGCATTTAACACTCGGAATTTTGTGCTAATAATATATTCGAACTTGGCATTTAGAGTGGTAGTAATCTGGAAAAAAGCGAAGGGATTAGATTAAATAGATTAAATCGTGCGTGAAATATTTTTTCTAAAAATCTTTCTTGTTATTGCAGAAACACCGCAGGTCGGTAATGTAAACAGATACAAGAGAAGTGTGCGTCTCGATATTGGTGTCGTACCTTCGCATGAAGAACTTGTAAAGGCCGAGTTTCGTGTGTACAACAACCGTTCTAGCGTCGACCCAGCTCTTGGCCAACATGTTATCAATGTGTATCAGATTATTGCCTCAGGTGAAAGAAAGCTGCTCGATTCGAAAGTTGTGAATGCTAGTACAATTGGATGGCAGAGCTACGATGTCCTTCACGCTGCGCAACATTGGCACAAAACTCCAGGAGAAAACCATGGGTTGGAGATGGAGATAATGACTGAAAATGGGCACCCTATTGATATATCACATTTGCACTTTGACAAACCACATGAAATGACCGAAGAACAATGGCCCCATCAACGACCATTATTCGCGCTATATTCGCGCGACCCCAATACTCATATGCATAAAAAGCGCGAACGACGCAGCGCTTCCACGGACTGGAGCAAATATACAGGATTGTGTAAACGCTTTGATCTGGTCGTAGACTTTATACAACATCTCAAATGGAACTGGGTGCTTCAACCGACGAAATACAACGCTTATATGTGCAAAGGAGAGTGTGTTTATCCAATTGCCAATCACCTGAACACAACAAACCATGGGATTGTTCAAACGTTAGTTCATAGTGTGCGAAGATATCGAGATAAAGTGCCCCCTGCTTGCTGTGTGCCCACTGAATTGGAATCAACGATGCTGCTATTGAGTCGTGACCAGGGTACTATTGAGATAAAAGATTACGCTGAGATGCGCGTTATTGGTTGTGGCTGCAGATAGATCTAGAATTGTCCTCAACCTGAACCATCACCAGCCGATCTGGACCCTCCAGTGCGAGAAGTCAAGAACTGATCCCGGAGCATAATAGCAATGAACGATTGAAAAATTTTTAGTCGTGTCCGCATCACAAGCTTATTTTCACACAACCAATCTGGTTTTGAGTTTTATACTATAAGCATGTTTATATGAGGCCTGGGCGAAGTAAGGGCGAGAAAAAATCTAAATTGACACGAGAGAGCTTTGGAAATTGTTTTAGTTTCTTAAAAACTTGAAAATGTAATTCAAAATGTGGTTTCCCTTGTGCATTATCAGCGCTGTTTCAAAATTAGACTCGTCCAAGAAATTGCTTGCGCCTGCATTCTTCCTGGAGGTTCAATCTATAGTTTTAATCTGAGCAATTTTTCAACTCGGTTTCATATAAACAGCAAGCAACTGGCACTTATATGTAACATATATCCTGTAAGCAACGCTTGTGTTGTGACCACGACTTTTATAATGTAAACACCAAAAGACATTAGGGAACACCCGTTAAGTATGTGTCTATAAAAAGGGACCAAAAAATCAAACATTAATTTATACTGTATAATTCATTAGAACACTATTATTATTATAAATTACATAACCTTGTATAGTGTATATTAAGACATATTTGTACAGCATTTTGTAATATAATTACGATCTGATTATTGCGGTACTGTGGTATTCAAGTGTTTTAATTGCGCATCGCTGTATAAATGCCCAGCTTGGAATTCCAACACCTTACATACTAGCCTCACACGTTCTTAATTAAGTGGGCTGGTTTAATTGTTCCGTTATTGCCAAATCAGTCTCCAATCTGAATGTTGCGAGTTATTGAATTGTTTGTAGATAGTTTATCAAATCAAAATTTCGTTTTACTGAGGTTTCTCCTGGGGGTAATAAAGGTTTACCCGAGAAGAAATATAACTTGAAACTGCTCACGGCGTTATGTCTGTGGAGTCATCCAACATCAGCTTACAGAAACAGATGTAGTGCATGTAAACAATTCTGTAATCCTAGACTCTAGCTTTATATAGAATGGTTTCCGAACTTTCCTAGGCCAGACTTCTTTACGTTGTTTATCGCGTTGATATGTGGTGAATAAATTGTGGCACGAGCCAAGTTGAAATATGTCTAAACGTTACAAGTCGGCACCATATACAGAATGAGAGGATGATAGCCCTCTCACCATTGGAATGTTGAAATTCCACTGTCAAGAAATTAATAAAAAGTCAAAACCAGCAGAACATTTCAAGACGTAAAGTAAAAACAAAAATGAAGACATCTTTAATAAAACCAAGGATATGGAGTAATAGAAGACACAATTTACAATGGTTTATGTTTCGATCGTATTGCCGGAACTGGCATCATCAAAGTTAAGAGTTCATTCGCAAGAGATGTCAGTATTCAAAAAGTAAAATCTGCGAACTCATGACCTACATCGCGGTATGGTTTTGTTTAATGCATTGCTTTGTTTCTTTACACTCCATAGTAAGAAAAACAATGACAGACCCCAAGTAGAGTGCCGCAAATGAGATCTGAATGTGGATGACGCAAATCTTGACGCAAATAATGCAAAGTTATGCGAAAGCCTTTCGCCGTTCTGCGAAATAGTCATTATCGGGTTACCCGGCCGAGTATCTTCTTAAGAGCTCAAGGCTTGTTCTCCTGGCGTGTTTACAACTGTGCCAAGGTTTAGTTAATCTATAAACGAAGACATATTTCATTACCCTCCTATGCAAATGACGCGAAAGCCCTTGATGACAGCTTAATTTTGACCTCCTCAGCGGGTCAATTTCAACAAATATTCTCGACCTAAATTACGCTCGGAAAACTTCTGCGCAACACCCACGTGCTTGGTGGGAACGCGTACTAGTGGGTGCCAGTAATTAAGTGTTGTTGACTTCAGAAATATTGGCACGAGGTTGATATTGGCAGTGATAGGAGCAAAGAAACAAAACAAAATTTCTATTTATTTTTTTTGTTACCAAATACCAAGAATGTTCACCACATAGAGTTTAGAAGCGTTTAGTATAGGATTGGAATAGTCTGCTGTTTCGCTTGGCACCTATAATCTAACAGTTATAATGAGTCGCCATGCAAATTAACATTATAAGTTTGAGTTTCTCACTGATTAGTGAGCGTATTTCCTGACAGGCTATTGACCAATAAAGGGGAGATAGGGGAGAAGACACGAAAGTCTAACCATTTACCGATGTTAATGTAAAGGTAGCTCTTTCTCCTCAATTATTTGAAGACCTTGAGTCAGAGGTCCGACGAAGGATTGAACCCGGGTCGTCTCCCAGGTTGAAAGGCAAGCGTGGTGAGCTCAAGTGCTGTTTTCTGAAAGTACATGCATCATTGGAAAATGGCACTTGCAATTCAGAAAAAAAGATGGCCAGCTTTCATTCCAGAAAGGGGAGGGGAGGCACCTGCCTTCAGTGCCCCAAGTTTCGCGGCCGCTGTCTGTTGTTTGACTTGTTTTTTATTTTATGTGGAGTCCCCTAATCTGCGATCAAGGGTCAATGTATTTTGTTCCTCCCTACCACATTCAAGAGAACTAATCCAAGAAGCTCTTAGTCATGCATGCATGCGTGCGGTTAAAAAAAATTCCGAATGCTACTTGAACCCTCCCAGTGGTAATGTCAAGAAGCCTCTTATACTATATACCACGTACCGTGCCCGACCCCTCAAACATGAGGAAGACATTTGAACGCAGAAATCAACAACATTCACCAGATTAGAACATATTATTTGCGACATACCTAATTAGTTAGAGAAATCTAGTAATATATATTATTGCCAGAACCACCGAGTATTTTGACAAAATACAAAACAATAACAACTCGAAACACAGTAAAGATTTTCAAAATTGTTATATACGTTTAGTAGAGAATATAGGGTGGTCTCGAAATGAAGAAATAATGTCTACTGCATATGTTCGGAGTTAACTACTGTTTTGTATACTAATTATTATTTAAGGTTACTTCACACGATGAACGTGCGTTTTAGTCTATTGGACATTGCTCAACGAATTTTAGGTGTAACTTTACCAAATTTTCAGTGAAGAAAGCCAGGAAAATGCTGATTTCGAAAATTTTCATTTGATGGGTGTTCTGTTTAAACATTTTCAGTATTGGCTGACTGAGTAAATATGTAGATACCTTCATAAAAAAATCAAAATATGTTTATAGTTTACCTCAACGGTTGTCTAGATATCGCAATTCAAATCTTCATAGGCATGGTAAAAAAAATGTGTGCGGAAAATTTCTCTTCTTTAGTGGTTTTTCTGATATGCCCTGATTCTTTTCTGATATGCCCTGATTCTTGAATTTGTGACTGATAATTCACGAAGTTGTCAAAGAAAACGTCATATCAGAAAAACCATTGAAGAAGAGAAATTTTCCGCACACGTTTTTTTTACCGTACCTATGAAGATTCAAATCGATATATGTAGACAAACGTTGAGGTAAACTATAAATATATTTTGATTTTTTTTATGGGATACTTATGTATTTCTTTAGTCAGCCAATACTGGACATGTTTAAACAGAACACCCATCAAATGAAGATTTTCGAAATCAGCATTTTATTGGCTTTCTTCACTAAAAATTTGGTAAGTAATATATGAACAACGAGAGCAAGTGTTTCACCGGGATATCCAAACACGAGAAAACAATGTATGAAAATACGAGCGCGAAGCGCGAGTGTTTTCATACATTGTTTTCGAGTGTTTGGATATCCCGGTGAGACACGAGCTCGAGTTGTTTATATGGCTTCTCAAATGAATCGAGACGTAACAGAATGTTTTCGTTTGCTGATTTGAATAGAATTCTTAACCAAGCATAACGTAATTAGGAATTCTATTCAAATAATTTTGCATGCGTAATTAAGATATTTGATGAAAACACTAGTGACTTTCATCAAGTATCCAAATGTCATCTTGTGATCAAATAGATGATTATCATTGGCTGAATTACTCATGAATTATTAATGAATTTGAGAAAGATACACCTAAAATTCGTTGCGCCATGTTCAATAGACTAAAACGCACGTTCATCATGTGAAGTAACCTTAATAATATATTGCAAGGTCATTTCCAGAACATGTGGTGTCGTGGTCACCACGATTGCCTTTCAAGCTGGGAGACTCGGTTTCAATCCTTGTTCGGACCTCTACTCAAACTCTTTAAATAACTGAGTGAGGAGTGAGGAGAAAGAGCTACTTTTACATTGACATCAGTACTGAATGGTTAGACTTTCGTGTCTTCTCAGATAAGGACGTTGAATCGTAGGTAACTCGGATTCCTCGGATCTCCTATCAATTGGGCAATAGCCTGTTGGGAAATCCGCTCACCAATGAGTGAGAAATTCTGAATAAACTCAACATGGTGAAAGATTATAAAACATGTTAATTAACATGCATGGTGCTCGTTTAGAGGTATATTATTTCCAGAACTAAACTTGAAGTGGCTTTGCGTGCCATATAAATGAACTAAAATGTTTGCAGAAAGGCTAGTGCCTAGTGTTTATGACAGTTTCTTTCGCGTCACTGTAAGAGTCGAAATAAGAGTAATTTAAATGATTAACAGATTTATAGAAACTAGTTTGGTGTATATTGAATTGCTTGTTTTTTTTCTGTTTTCTTCATGAAAATACTAAATAGATGAAACTTTGTAACTTCATTAAGAACTAGAAATCTATACTGACAAATTTGGGGAGACATTGACTAGCTGCATATTTTACGAAATATTGAGTAGGTTAGTTTCTTTGGTGTTATGTTACCAGATCACATGAACGTGCAGGAAATGAGGTCATCAGAACTTACTAATATGTACTACTTTATTTAATGTGCTAGTTTATTAGTAGCCAAAACATGGGAGGTTGTTTAGCCAGACGACATCTTGTAATTTTGACTGTTTATCTAGACTACTGAAGTCTTCAGTTCAAAGTTCAGCCCCGGATTGTTGAGGCTAGCTGGCTAGGTTGCATGAAACTCGGATAGCTTATCGGATAAGTTCAAATTATAAACAACACACACATACATATTCTGATGGAAAGACCGCAAGTTATGATGCACTAAATATGGCTCCACACACAGATATAGTTATCCTATTTTGGTTGAAAACTTTTAGCTTGGCTGTTTAGTGAAACGGAATGCCTATATTTTGGTCTTATCTATCTCAACCGATGAAAAGCTGTTACATGTGGGTAAAAATATCAGTCTAATTACAAAGCCTCTGGGTACATATTTTCTGAGTAAAAACAGACGTTTTATTAGAAGTTAAATTAGCTTTTCTTATAACTCTCTTCTCTCGTTAAAGAATCTAAACAATTAAAACAATGTCAATAGTGATTTTTGAAAGTTGTAACTGTAAATTTACGATTATAGGTAATGATACACACGACTACAGTAATAAAAAGTTTCATTTCGTGGCTGACTCGTCCCTAGTCGTCTCTGTGTTTCAAGCGCGGGCGGAAGCAAGAAAGGTAGGAAGGGCATGCAGGCGCTTAAGCGCTTCTCGGTGCGTCAAAACACTCTCAGATTTGGGAGCCGGGCAGTACCCGAAAAATGGCGGATAAACGGAGTGTGGAGAAAGGCTAATTTACTCGACCTTGAAAACTGATGGTTGCCACTGATGCTACCTCTTAGTAGAGTTAACTCTGGTCTTAGAAACATCAGTTTTACTTTGAGATCAGTGAGCTCACCACAGAAGCTGAGACAATTTCAAAATCAGCTTCCGAGTTATTTTTTTCAATTATTAACTTGTTGATATGATCAATGATGATGCATTAGATATAGAAAACTTCATGTGTGGTTAAACATACTCTTCTGTGTAAGGTCGGCATGCTAGAAAAGAGGCGGCCTCAGCCTCTTAAAACATCACCACAGCGTGAAGTAACTCGCGCGAAATGGCAAACTATTGACACAACAGAGGCGTCGTTGCTTATCTTTAAAATACTTATCATTTTGGCTAATTTTAGCTTGCGATAACTGTGGTTACCCTTGGAGAATGTTGTTGTAAGATTACAACTTGCTTCGTGCATAGACCATATAGTTTTACATTGAATTTGGGATGAGAATATTCATTTTAAAACTGGTTTACGCTACCAAAGTTTTTGTAGATCATTGTATGTAGGAATTTTGCATGCTGTAAATTCATTTTTGTTTAAACGGATTTGTAAGAAATGTTTGAAGGATTTGTAGAAATGTTTGAGGGAACTGCCTATAACACTGACTTACCTTATCCAAAATTCTACTGTGATCACAGAAACTTTGATAGTCGGTAAACCAGCCAGTTGTAGGGACTACTAGCTGCATGCATGGTGGTCAGTGCAATCAGTTTGTGTGACAAGACCTATATAAATTCATAGGAGAAGAGTGCTTCCAGTCGGGCTCTGGTATCGCTGGATCAGTACCGACGGAGACTCCTCGCTCTTGACAATGGTTTAGAACTGGCCCAGCAAAGCCCATTACAGGAATATATTTTAGTTTAGTTTTAGTCTCTTTGTAGTAACAATTTACTTTTCAATTCCAAAGCGGGTACGACTGATAACGGTTGATGCACGACAAAAGAGTGTGTCTGTATGTGTGAACTTTATTTAAGGGAACTTTATTTAACTTTATTTGAGGGGATAAAGCATGCAGGTACCCCGGAGTTGTGCACGTACAATGTAACAAATAGTGGACAACATCTACAAAAATGCTCTTCCTGAGAGCCGTGGAAATACTGACTATGGAATACAAACTACTTATACTCATATTACCTAGTTGTTTACAATATTATGCCTAAAGACTGGTTTACACTAGCAAAGTATCCCTTGTGATCACACTCAAGAGATTTTCCATACAGTACTGTATAGGTAAATTCTACGTTTTGAAGGATACTGACCCCGTCTTTAACAACGTAACTTTTTGATGGTGCATGTAAACCAACCTTAAGAATTTAAGAGAATTTTACATATATGTATGATTGAGAACCTTCTTGTAGGCATGCAGTAATATCCTTGGTTGATCAGTTTATATTGTCTGTCAGTGGATTCCAAGTACAGGAAAAAACGTAGCAAATGACGACGTCAGATCTCTGAGGAGGTAAACCTAATCTGAGTTATGTCCTCTGATGATAAAACCGGATCTAAATATCTTGTAAATTCTACGATATGACAATTATGCCTTCAACCTACTGACGTACATGCATAGCCAGACGGCGAGTCCTTCGCTTGAAACGTCGATTTTTCCACCTTCCAGTAATCGAGATATAAAACGTCACTTCAATTCAAATCTGCATGTGGCTGCATGCGCATAACGTTTACAGATGAAACATATACAGGCCGTACATGCTCACTTGATAGATCAGTTTTTTAATTACTAAAAGTTCACATTTTGAATTGCTGCTGGGCGATCACAAAATAAGCTACACCGGTTTTTGAGCCCGGGTCAAATGAGAATTCATGAGAGTTGGTAGTCATGCTAGTCCTTTCCTTTTCTTAACACTACCATGTATTACTGATTATATTTAAGTTAAAACATAGTTAGAACACTATCAAAGCTTTATTTTGTTAATCTAGAGCTCGAAATGTCCCCCGTGTAACTGTATAACTGAATTCATGCCTGCCAATTCTCATAACTTACTCTCATCCTTGTTTGACCGGGGCATATTAACCCGCCCTATAATGCTATATATGTCCCGTGATGAACTGAATTCGTGATAGCTAAGACCCTGAGCGGTTTATAGGAAGGAAACGCGCTGTGGTGCGCAAAACATCACTGACCTATGGGGGCCATGTAAGTTTTAACAAAGGGATTAACAATCTTGTTTTAAACACCGTATGTCAATGGTCATTACCATTAATCGAAAAACAAGTATGCATTTATTTGTTCAAAGAAACTCTGGAATTTGTGAGCTATTTTTGGCCATTTTGCTCGCAAACGGACACAGCAAAGTCAGAAAAATCGACAGATGGCAACCAGAACATGGCGAATTGAAATGAGTGTTAAAACGGATTTACTTTGCCGTGGTATACTTTGTGTCATGGCCGGCTACCGGTTCGGCAAAATTGTTTTTAAAAGAACAGAGAGGTTATGATGTTTTGTTTACATATCGCGCTAGTGAGATTATGCCCCCACGATGACCGCTTCGCATACGCGGTGAAAATTAAATTAACAAAAACGTCACTAAATTCCATTACATTTTTGTTAAAATGCGTAGTTTAATTAATCATGTTCTATTTAGACAATTTAGTCTGATCGATTATTAATAATTCAAGCCAGACTACATTTAGATATTAAATAAACCTTGAATTTCAAGGTTTAAAAATGTTGACTGTTTTATTATATATTCTGTTCTACTTTGACGGTTACCGCTGAATTGCACTGCCTTTTCAGAGTATTGAAAAATGAAATTTTTTTCTTAGTAATGATATAAAACGGTATCTTCGTGAGCCGCGCGTGAATTGCTAGTATTAGTTGTCGTGAGATGTAAAGTGGTGGATTATTGTCTCGTTATGAGTAATTGCCAGATATTTTTGTCTGGCAAGCGAGAATTTATTTGAAGCCGGTAGAAGTGCAAAGATGAAGAAGAGCTATATGCTTTGGATTTAATGATTTTCCTGCATTCGTGTCAATTGTGTTGATTCAGTTTATCGGTTGGTTTTCAAAAAAGACTTAATTTCAACGGGTTTTTTACAGGCTTAAGAAGGAAAAAGGGTATTTTTTACATGTAAATCGTGAAATGGCTGTTTTTCTTCAAGCAAGGTTTAATCTAGTACGGATCGACGACACTTAACAAGAAACGCCCTTAAATTTTACGCTTCAAAAATTATGAATTGCCGCTATTAGGAACCTCTATAGCAAGAAGGACGGAAATACAACGATGACGACTACTAATACAATGAAATTCATAGTGTTGCAGACATCCATCTAAGGCGTCGATCCAAGTACACATTTCTTGCTTTCAAAACTGGATTTTGGGATTAATTAACCTGACTTCATACCGTTCATTTTTCCCACAAGATTTGCATGAACAATTTTCAATCTTTCATCGTATTTGTATTTTGCCATGTAAATAGCTAGCATTTAAGTTCATATATAGCATTGCATTTCGCGTACTTCATATAAATGCGATTAAGATGCTATAATAAGCATGTACGAATAACAAAAATCCGTTTAACGTTTCAACGAAAAACAGAATCTTTGATGGTCCACACTCCAAACCATTTGCGGTTAATAGGCCAGGATGCTGTTTGTCTGGCCTTTATCACTGAGTTAAGCCTGTTGCTATAGATCAAGGACAAGGGCCGGTTGTTCAAAGATGTGTTAAAATTTAACCCGCTGTTTTAGTTTGTGTATTTCTGCACGTCTTTTTTATTTCAAAACTTCAGAGAAGTAAACTCCTATCGATCTAGACAAGATCTCTGAAGAAATATTTCCAAATTTATAAACAAGCTGGATGTATTTCTTAGGATTGTGAACCATGAGTCGTATGGTGACAGCCGCAGCCGCCCCAGTAAGCCTTCGATAGAACTCACGACGTTAAGTTGCGTCTTTCGTAATTCAGCATTCACGAATGATGATTATTGTCGATTTCAGGTCACTTTTGAAAGCGCGGTTCCCAAGTTTGTATTCCCAGTTTAAATTTGGAATATTGGGCGTGAAACTTGCAAAGCCAACTTCGGAAGTTCTTACTAAAGTACCAATATATACTGAACACTAAAGGACCGAAGTATCAAACATAAACTCGTAATAAATTTGCAGTGTTTTTATTTTAATTGTTTTGTGTGATAAAATGTGCCGTTTTTTAACACATCATTAAAGCATTAAAGCATCAGCGCAAGATTAGCGCGTTATTTTTAAATTTCCATTCATAGAAAAAAAAGGCTAAAGTCATTAAGCTGCAGTAAATATCTCAAAAAGGAATTCTCATTCAACTTTCAATCATAATGGTAATATTGTTAAATTATTGCAAATTTCAACAGCATTCTTGAATATTTGCTAGTACTAGTGTTGAAATTATAATCCTTTTGACCAGTCATGCAGCCATGATTCAGTAATTTGAATGCTCCATTGTCTTTTTTTGTTTTGAAAATCTTGCTGTTCTCCATGCCATTCAGACTGATTCAGTCACCCATTGACTAATGCATTGCAAAGTTATTTTATTCGATCAGCCTCGGTCTTCGCCCTCGTTTGCAACCATAATACACGACACTGGTAGTTGCCTAGGTTACGAAGGCAAAAACAATATGGCGGCCCGAAGAACAGTGAAAAAATCCGAAGAAACGCTAATTTTGCCTCCTATAACTTCAAATCTTGCTCGATCGAAACCAAACGTTGGGAAAACACTTGGAAACTTTGGAACTTATGTTTTGTTACCTTCATTGGACCCTGTACAAAATATGAACGCAATGTACGATGTTAGAAAGTTTTGTAAATTACTTTGTGAATGGTATATTTCGTGGAGAATTTGGCAAAGAGAGGTGTTATTGTGTAGCTTGTCGGAGAAATGTTCTGTTAATTTGTTAACATCGTTGTCTACTATACTTGAACCTGTATTTCATCGGGATTTTGTTTCAAGATTGCATGGCAAGTACCCAGACTTTAAACCAAAAGTGGCAAAGCTACCAAAGCATGCAGATATTAAAACTTCGAACGCCGAAAATAAAGGCAGTAACATAAACGTTAAAGTCGAACAGGGGGAGAGCAATGTTGGAGAAGTTACTGAAACAAAAACAAACACTATAAGTCAGGAAAAAGTTGAGGGGAAAATAGACATAACAAATGATACAGCTATTGTGAAAGATGCAGTTAGTAGGAGTGAAATATGTGACCAAGGAATTGAAATATCCGCAGAACAAGTGGAAACAAACACAGAACCGACTGTTGGTGAAAAAGTTGAAGTAATTGACAACCAAAACACCACTAGTAACCATGTGTCACCTTTAACAAATTTAATCAAAGAAAGTTTATTAAAAAGTGATAATGATGCCCAAAATACTACAACACAACATCAAACTGCAAGCAATGTTTCCCAAATTAAAACTCTGCATAAATCAATAAACCAAGCACCATGTCAGATTAGAGGTGACGCATATGAGTGTAGGTCGTGCCACATTCACACGGCTAATGTTTACAACCAGGATACAGGCTCAAGGTTTTTCTCCGCATCTCGTTTCAAAAGACTGAGTGACATGAAGGCAAATCTCTCTCATGATGTTAGATTAGAACTTGGACCTAGAGTTAGTGAGTTGGATCAAAAGTGTTTCAAGCATCGTCGGTGGTGGTGGCCGACCCTAAAGAAAAGAGATTAGTTCCAGCACAAGGTTTAAATTTGTGGAAATATTTTGCAAGACAGTTAAATGATGTTAACGAGGTAAATATGCTAGTTAGCAAAATAATTATGCCAGTTAATAATCAACAACCCTTCTCTAGCTGTCAGATGAGCTTTAATTATGACTTCATTGTTCATAGATTAAAAATTTCCATAAAAAGTTTGCACCTAAGGTCATAAATTCTCAATATTAGCTACAGGTAGCTATTAGACTGAGCAAAATAGAGGGGAGCATCACACTGGTAATATTCAGGAAATTTTGTCCCAGGACAGCAGGCTCATATTTCCAGCAGACATCCAATGAAAAATTGAAAGCTTTGTGTTTTACACAGAGCAGCCAATTTTGTGCGAGATGTCCGCTGACTATATGAGCCAGCATAAGGGGGATAAAATTTGACCAACATGCATTAGGGCACATTGCTGCATGCTTAATAGGTTTAACATAGATTTATTTGAACAGATACTCCATGAATTATCTAGTTAATTAAGACTTTAAGAAGTCTGATATATATATTTATTAGAGACTGTGGCATTATGTTCACTTTGAGAAATTTATGATTGTACAATATATAATTGTATATATTAATTTATGATTATGATATTTATGATTTCCAGATCCTTTGTGTTTAATCGTGAATTATTAATGATCTTACTCATTTAAGAAATCAGTATTCTAAGTATGATTTAAATTCTTCTTGTTAATTATGTAATCATATTCAAAAGAGGATGGAAGCTTGGGGTGATTACGAGAGAGTCAATGTGATTTCAGACGTTATCAAATCATCAGATCCTGAGCAGATAAATTTTTTTGCCCAGTGTTTAATTCAGAGGTAATGTAGTCTGTTAATTATTATAAAATTAATAATATTCCATTTGCGTTGAAAATGTGTTCGAAATGCGTTAGATTTGCGTTCTTTTTGCGTTCGACTCAGTTCGGGTTACGTTCCATTGGCGTTCCGAAATCGTTTCAGAGGAAACTTTACTTTCCCCTGATATTCTAATGGTCGTGCGCCAAAATCGTCTACGTAAACTGTCTTTATAAATACTGTAATATTCGTAGGTTCCTCAGTCTCTGAAAGTAAAACCTCGGTCAAATGAGGACGAGAGTGCAACTCTCGCTCATGTTTGACCGGCAACTCTCATCAACTCTTGTGCACTCTTATCAACTCCCGATCGTCATGCAACTCTTGTTCTTCTTTGACCGGGGCACGAAAGTTGAGAAAACTCTCATGCATGCAAACTCTCGCTTGCCAACTCTCATCAACTCTTGTGCGCTCTTATCAACTCTCGTGCAACTCTTGTTCTCCTTTGACCCGGGCACGAAAGTTGAGAAAACTTTTATGCATGCAAACTCTTGCTTGCCAACTCTCATCAACTCTCATCCGCGTATTAACTAAGTCCAATGACTACTGTCTGAACATTAACATTTTTCTCTCATTTTGGACAGATTGAAAGATCATACAGATGTAAGCATACTACCGGATCAAACCCTTCTCAAAATATTTTCCGAACTTGATGCCAGTACGTTGTGTCAACTTTCGCAGGTAAGACGTATTTATGTTTTTTTTTGGAGGCCGTTTCGTAAAAAAAAACGAATTACGTTTAGATGGCTTTTCTAATTTTTTGGATGTTGGTCGCATGGTAACATAGTTTATAAAATAACATGTATATAACGCGTGCTCTGATTGGTCTAAACCCGTGTTTGGATCAGTCCATCCAAACACGGAAATCTAAAGTGCCTTCGCGGGAATTTTAAACTTTGTTGTTATTTTATAAAACAATTACTTTATGGTTTCCGTGTTTGGATGGCCTGATCCAAACACTTGGGAATGTTGCTCGAGTTAAGAAAAATCGTTCGTCTTCGGCTCGTGTTTCGCGCGTTTTCCTTAATAACTCTCGCAACATTACCGCGTGTTTGGATCAGGCCATCCAAACACGGAAACCATAAAGTAATTGTATAATCTATAGTTAGTAGATCAGTGTCTTTGACTTCTGTGGTCGGAGTTTTTTTTCCATTTTGCCTCGATAACTCTACAGTCACATGTGAGTGTTTCCAGTGTGACTCTGACTTTTCTCTGTAGTTACACTTTTTTTCGAATTCTTGTTCTTGAAGGTGTCAAGAAGATGGAGATATCTTGCAGAGGATGATGGATTATGGAAAAATAAATGTCTTCAATTAGGTATAATTCAGATAGCTCAGTCAGATAGGGTGGTTGAGCCGTTATAAAGGCATGTTACAGTACACGAGGCAGATGAAATGCAAAAAATATGATGAAAAATGTTGGGAGAATTAACTTTGGGCTTAGGATATTTTCCCTGGAACTACTTTTTAGATAACATCGCTCTATGTCAGAAATTGCGTTGCAAGTTCCAACAAAAATTGCCTCATCAAAAATTACCTCATATTATCACATATTATTAGCACTGATGAAGATCCAGGGTTACGGATCGAAAGCTTTGCAGTGATAAATTCACGTGGTGTTCCACAAACAATAGTATTAATAGGATAGTGCTATCTACCGGAAAGTGATTTTTTAACATTATTCAATGAGTAAAATCATTTAGCTTTACTGCAGAGTAAAAACGTAAATAAGGACATTATATGACGTATTTTCAAAATACAAATGAAGACACGAAGTATTCTGAGATTCTTATATCTTTATCTTGTATAAAATATTTAGGCTTATCAAACGGAGTAAATGATCTGATATTCCTAATTGAGAAATCTGCAGAGAATCACACAGTGGACTGGAAGCAAGCTTACCAGGAAGTGTATAAGTTTTTCCAACAATCTAAAAAGCAAAGGGAAAGTCCTGTTGAGGAGGAGGAGGAGGAGGAAGAGTTAGAAGGTAGGGGGGGGGGCAGTGCCGTAGCCAGAACGATAATTGGGGGGGGGGCACATATTCATATATTCGTGTTCTGCTTTATTAATTTCTTTTGAAATCAATTGTTTTTATGGTATGTGAACACGAATATATAAATATGTGCCCCCCCCCCCAATTATCATTCTGGCTACGGCACTGGGGGGGGGGCAGTAGAAGGCTGACGAGAAGTGGGGAAGGGGAAACGGGTGATGGGCAGATGCCCAGCGTCTGGTGCTTTCTTGGAATGGCGATTGTGGCCACTGGTTTAGCTGCATCCTCTCAAAATGAATCTGCATGGTCTCGCAACTTGTATTTTTCTTGTTGATGCTCATTTTCCCCTTGTTCTTTTGGCTTTTAGAACCAGTGGAATCTATCAGCGCATCATCAGAATCTCAACTAAGTAAGTTCTCCCAGCGCTGCCAATAAATGTTAACATTTCACGTTAGGTAAGATACCCCGGTTTACCGGCACGAGTATCGCCATTTTGGTTTAATGTCGGCATGTTTACCCGTAATTTCTAACTAGTTGTGGGCCGTTTAAGTAGCAAAATACTTCAATATCTTACCTAAATAAATCAATGCACATGTGCTCGTCAATTTTTTCCAAATCTATGGTGAACCTCAACAACGAAAGTTACCATTTTCCAATCGATTTTCTTACCCCAGAATATCTTGGATTTCTGGGTACGTGTATGTATATCAACCTCTCAACTGTTAATTTTTACAGGTCAAGTACCTTCTAAACATAGCAGAATTAGTGAGCAAAGGATGACAAGTACCGCAACAAGTGTGTTCAATTTCTTAAATACCTCATTCAATTTTTTTATATTTTCGCGTGTGAGCGTATGGATTAGAACTGATGAGTGCACTCAATATATTTTTTTAATTGTTTCTCTTTAGTTACAGCAGATATACAACTAGAATATTTAGATTTGACGTCAGCTAGAGACGGTGATGTTTTATCAGGAAGGAGTGTAGATGTCGAAGACGATAATGATGAGGATCTTACTGGAGGAAATCTTGGGATGCTAGAAGATGCTTTATCTGAGTTGTCTGGTGAAAAACAGGAGGATATTACTGATGAAATAGCGTACGATATAAGACCGAATAAAATACAGCCGCTTAATGAAATGGTATGTTTTTCAGCGCTCGAAATGGTTGATTCAATCGAGCGTAAAGCACTGATTGTCAACGGTCAACCAGAAGTTATTACACCCGTTTTCAAAATTACGCGACCTCCCTGAAAAATACTCCTACTTCAAATGTCAGTTTTATGTCACAAGAACTGCTAAAAATAGCAAACGTATTAAAACAAACTGTCTAAAGACATTTTAAACCGTATTTTAATACCAAAACTGAACAAAAATGAGTCAGATAACTTAGATATACAAACTACAGCACAATACAAACCATCACAACATAAATATGTGCCGTGAATGACTTTTAAAGTTTGAAAAAAACAATTTATCCTGGAATATAGCTGTCAGTATAAAACACGCGCGCTAGACTATAACGGTGATGTTATGATTTTGTCGTGCTTAAATTTTACAATAATTCTCACTAAAATATCTTGAAAATCGTTGTAAGTCTGTTTATATGAAGCATACAAAGCATATACATCGACAAGGAACCGCAAAACTCAAAATTTGAACTTCGTGATCGAATGACATAAAACTGACATGTCAACTCTAGCATTTTCGTCTTTGGTCGCGTAATTTTGAAAACGGGTGTAAAGTGAGAAAATAATGTTAATGAAAAAATAATGGGCTTTCATTATCAGAGCAATTAGCGCCTTTCACCTCTGAGATTGTGGCTTCGATTCTCGTGCCGGACTGAAGACATTCATGTGAAAAGATCTACCGAAAGTCGTGGGTTTACTCCGGGTTCTCCGGTTTCTTCCCACAGGGAATGTTGACAGGATGGGGTTGGGGTTAGCCCCCTAACTGAATCTTCCACCGTAGCTGTGCTTCGTGATCAGATATGAGTCATAAGGTGGCTACCAGAGGAGCCCCAGGCGCCCTTTGAAAATCGATCAGGTTGAGCTGCGTCCTTCGTAATTCAGCTTAGCTTTCAGCAGCAAGTAAGGAAGATTAATACAACAACATAGGGCCTACTTACTTACTTAGATTATACGGTATTATGCAGTAGGCTTATATTTTGTGGCAACAGATAAAATGAAGTGCTTTTGTTTAATCTGATCGCTCCAATACGTTGACCATCATCTGCTACTTCGTAACTCAGTGGCGTAACGTTAAAGCAGGGGTCCCCCGGTTCAACATTTTCGAAGGCCCCCTAGTAGAAGTGCCAAACGCACGAGTCGAGCGCCGTATATGCACAAGTTTTCTAGGGGGTCCAGGGCATGCTCAATCCGGAAAATTTTTTAATCTAGACTCTCTAAAATGCCATTACCTGGACTTTGGGGAGAGATATTACAGAATTCTGATGGTCAGAAAACGACATTGTAACATATCGGAGGCCCTGACCAATGTTTTTGCTCTATCGCCTAAGCCTAGGGGCCTCCATTGGGGTTGGGACCCCCGGGTTCTCCCGGTCTAAGCCCATAGTAGTTACGCCACTGTCGTAACTCCTTCACGAAACGAACTTTTTTTATTTGACTTGAATGGAGTTGAATGTTATTACTACGTTTTTTAAGGCGTCAGTGCCAGATATGATTTAACTAGATATTTGTTTTGTAGGAGGATTTTGATAATGGAAACCATCGGCTTATCACGGTTGGTGTTGAGGACGTAAAGTCTGTGAAAAGAGTCCGCAAACTTCAGGTAGAGAAAATGAAAATCTACTTTTCCAATTTGAGGTTTGGATGCTCCAGATTCCTATTCTACTCACACTACAACAATGAGAGATGGTCCTCATTGGACGTCTAGGAAGAACATGCAGTTTAAAACAGACTGAACAGTTACAAGTGATTGAGTTATCCAGTATAATCTTTTTATCTCATCTTTTTATCTTAATTAATTAATAATTGAGTTTATCGAGATTCTCACCCATTGGCGAGCGGATTCATGCACCTCTCATCATACAACTCTTGTCAACTTAGTCACTTGTGAACAGGATGGGATGTGTTCGCACTGCTTGTTCCCAGCTTGTTGACAAGTTGTCAACGGCTTTTTGACAACTTGCCACAATGTTGTTGGCAACTTGTTGCATGAGCTCAACAGACTTGTTACAAGTTGTTCCAACATCTTGTTATCGTCCTGCGATTCAATAATTTGGTCTTTGAGAGTGATAACCTTGTAGCAACTTGATAAAATAACATTGTTACAACTTGTTGACAAGCTTGCTACAAGCCTGTTGCGATGTCCATCTACACGAAAACGAGGCCCTATGGCCAAGGTCGTCACCCACTTTCCAGAAGGGTACATTGAGAAAACTTTCATACAAACTCTCACTTCCCAACTTTCGTCAACTGACCATTTGCGTAATAGACTAAATTTTGATCTCAACAAAAATTTCATTACAGCTTGAAAGAGCATCACAAAATTAGTAATATTCCAAAGTTTCGTTGCAAAATGTTGTAAAATGCGGAAAATATAGCCTTACGAAATTTGCAATTTTCAGTCATTTTAGATTACAAACCGGAAATTGACAGCCTCGAAGGGTTTGGGGCTGTCAATTTCCCGTTTGTAATCTAAAATGACTGAAAATTGCAAATTTCGCAAGGTTATATTTTCCGCATTTTACAACATTTTGCAACTAAACTTTGGAATATTACTAATTTTGTGATGCTCCTTCAAGCTGTGATGAAATTTTTGTCTAGACTTGTTTAGTTCAAAATTTAGTCTATTACGCAAATGGTCAACTGTCATCCTTGTTTGACTGGGGCTTTATTGCGATTGTCTAGGGTCACATGGACGGCGTTTACACGGTGCAGTTTGATCCCAAGAGATGTTTGACTGGTTCGACTGATCGACTTTTACGGTACAGATTTGAGAATTTTGTCTATTGTTACTCAGAATTGCTAGTGATTACATGTATTCCTTGTGCCAGATTTATGAATGCATTATTTTTGTTATAATGTGTCATCAGTATTAATGCATCGTTTAGAATGTGGGATGTTCGAACTGGACGAGCGATTAGAACGATGACCGGTCATTTGGTAAGTAACCACCATAGAACGATGTTTACGATTATATGATCAGCGAGCTTAAAGGCCGTTTTCCGTATCGGACCGTAACGTACTGGTGAGCATGCGCAGCTTGGGGGTGGGTTTTCAAATTTACGTACTTCCGGTTGATTCGCGTATCAAGATAAAAAGTTCGTCGCAAGTCAACTTTTGAGCGTACTACGGAAGTATTAACCAATCAACAATCACGAAATTTTGAAATTTAAAATTTGTTTTGATACGTGTCAGTATACGTTAAAGAGTCATTGTCAACCACAATGCATTTGTTTACATCTTTACCTTCGGAAGTGAGAAATAGCAACAAATGAAGATAATAAACATTTCTTTGGTGCAATTTTAGTATAAAAAAGTTAAAATTAGCAAGTATAACCACAGGATGGTAGTAATATATTATGGATTGAAAACCGAAACATCTATTATTCCGCCATTAAAATGGCCGCCAGGCAGGTTTGGGCGCGCAATGCATTGTCGTTGACAATGACTCTTTAAGCTTGAAGTGGAAAACGGCCTTGAGCACGCGACTTTTTTTTTCAGACGTCAGATTGCCGAGGGGGGGGGGGGGACTGGATTAAAAACTGTGTTTGTGACAGTTTGTGGTAATCTTCAACGTCTTCAATACATATGACAAAGATTTTTGCTTCCTTACACCATGGGCGTATGGGCCTAATCTTGTTTGGGGGGAGGGCACAGTGTAGATTGCCCGAACAGGCAAACTGCACATTAATATTTCTCCCCAAAATTGTTGGCGAGCGGGGGGGTAGTCCTAATTACCGGAAAGGTCTATTGTGATATTACTTTTTTAACTGATATTACTTTAATCTTAACCCACCCTGTCAACTTTCTCTGTGGGAGGAAACCGGAGCTCCCGGAGAAAACCCACAACTTTCGACAGAGCGTTGACTCTTTTTCACATGAGTCCGTAGCGAGGATCGAACCCACGATTTCAGAGGTGAAAGGCGCCTGCTCTGCGGACTGCGCCACCGAAGCTCCCTGTTTCACGTATAGTAGAAAGAAAAGCGAAAATTATGATTTGATTTTGTTATTCTACCCAGGGTGGTGTGCGCTGTGCTCAATTTGATAATCAGAAGATATTAAGTGGGTCGTGGGACACAACAATTATGGTAGGTCGTGAAGTCTTTGGTCTTCTTTAGTTTTTCGTCTCATCCCAGTGAGTCCATCCAATTCAGCTTATAGGGGCTGTTTACATGACCTCGGTAACGGTTTGTCGTCACAGGATGGAAGATGATTCTGATGTATGGAAATAGATCACTATAGGCTTAAAAGAAAGTTCAAATGTCGGTTAAAAGAACCCAAATGTTGTCGAGGAGATCTCGTAGTTGAAGAAGATTATTATTGCTGCTTGAGCAACCTTTCAAACACAATTATACTATAATCTATCACTAGAAAAGTAATGTAGTTTTGCTGAATCGTGCACCGTGAGCTATTTCAATACATCAGAAATTATCCCTCCTCACATAAAGGGCCTGTTTACATGATCCTGCATGGTCAGACGGAACGGGACGTTTTCGCTCGGAAACTCGTCCAGGCGAGATTTTTGGTAGGATGAAGCCATCGAAGTGTCATATTTTTCGCAGAAAAAGTATTTACGCATGCTCAGAAGGCAAATTAGCAAGAGATCATATAAACCCCGAAGCGCCCTGCTTTATTATTTTACTATGTTTAACGCCAGACGATTTTACTCGTGAAGGGAAAAATGCTTCCAGTCAATGGGTTAATAAACCACGCAAGATTAGTTTAATTCAATATTGATAATATCGTATTATTATAGATCTGGGATATAGTAAAGTTTACGTGTACTGGTATTTTGCGTGGTCATCAAGGATGTGTCTCTTGTTTACGCTTTAATTCCTCGCATCTGTAAGTATATAAGACTCTCGTGTTAATTTAAGATGTTAAAAATTATGATATGTTTGAATTTATTGAGTTTTTCTCACTCATTGGTGAGCGGATTAATTTAATTTAATTAATTTATTAACTTTGCCAGATTCAAACAATTAACGTTAACACAAAAACTAGCAGGGCAATCGCAACAGCTTGCGCCAATTACTGCGATCCCTAAATGTTAGACAAATACACTATATACGTACATAGAAAAATCAATTATTAACAAACTATATCAGATTCAACTTTTCACATTGCGACCCGCATGACCACTTCGATTACCCAACATTCTATTGCCAAAATGATAGGGGATCCGAGGTACGTACGATTTTAACGTCCTTATCCGAGAAGACTCGAAAGTCTGACCATTTACTGATGTCAATGTATAAGGTAGCACTTTCTCCTCAATTATTTTAAGACCTTGAGTAGAGCGAGGTTCGACCAAGGATTGAACCCGGGTCGTCTCACAGCTTGAAACGCAAGCGTGGTGACCACGACACCATAAGTGCTGGTCAATATATGTTTTTTTTCTTCTTAGTGTGAGTGGTTCCCACGATATGACGGCGAGGGTGTGGGATGTGGGCACCTGGGAATGTTTACATGTTCTTGAGGGACATACAGGTACGCGGTTGATTTATGATGTGTCCAGAAAGCCTCTGGGAAAAGCTTAAGCCTGGTTCACACTGGTCGTAATTCATTGGCGATCTATTGTATTATTTTCCAACAGACAAAGCATTTTACACACCAATGACCACAAACAATGGAAATCCCCGATTCTTACGACCGTGGAACTTAAATCTGAACCTCTATAATAATTTCAGAACAGAGTTCTTTAATCAAAGGCACCTTCAACTCTTATTCAATCGAGTGAGATGCCAACAAAATCTTGATATTAAAGTACCCTTAATCCCACCATTTCTGTTATGAGCTATTTATATTTCTTTATATTTATATATTTTTATTTATTTATTTATATATATTTCTTTATTTATTTAGAATTTTTTCAAATCTTTTCTTACTGTAGTTTTCGTAAACTTTCTCTCTTTCTTTATCCACTGATTCATTCTGATTCCTTCTCTTTACTCTTTTGCTTTAATTCCCGTTTCCCCTCAAATTTCACTTGCTATGGCAAGTGTACATTTTAAGTACGGTACTGATGTAATTAGAGACCTTACGATTTAGGACGACAACGCGACGGCAACGGCTACCAATACAATAAATCATTGAAAAGAATCGAATAATTACAATATATAAATAATTTAGACATTGTCCTCGCTCTGCTTACAACGCCAAATCACAGATTTTCACGTCTTGATACAACGGCTGCACTTCAAACCGCAACAAGTGCAACTTCAAACTGGGTTCAGCAGAACTCTTCCCAAACATAAAACTTCGACTTCTAAGACTGTAATTCATATGATTGATAATATACCATGAATTATCTTCACTACCATTTATTTGAAGGAGTTTATTTTGGCCGTCGTCGTCGCGTTGCCGTCCTAAAATTGTAAGGTCTCTATTTGTGATTGCAGGACCCACTGAAAAACACTACGGTGATGTGGGTATCCTGGCTAAATATAAAGATAATAATTATAATAATAATTCACTTCATTACCAGGTGAAGTAACATGCCTTTTTCTCGGCGGAACATATTTACTCACTGGATCAACTGACAAGTAAGATAAATAACGAACCATTCATGTAAATACAACCTTCTAGAAAAAAACTTCACATTGGCTATACAGCCTCGTTTTCGTGTATGTGACGTCAGTTAAAGCCTAACGTTTCAATCACGAGAACGAGGCTTTATAGCCAAGTTAATGTACTTTCCGGAAGCGTGTATTATATTCAAGCTTGCGGATAAATTTTGCTGCATTGTTTATTTGTCTGCAACTTATGAAAATGAGTTTAAACTTACCATGTTTTTGTTTTATCCAGGACTGTTAAACTTTGGAATGTTCAAAGTGGTGAATGTCTTAAAACGTTAGTGGGACATAACAGTTCTGTTTTTTCGGTCCAGGTTGGTTTCCATAATTTGTTTCACTTTATACGTACATACATAAGTAAAAATCTCACAACTTGTCAATAAGGTGTTGGATGTGTTGGCAACAGGCTCGAGTAGCAAGCTTGTCAACAAGTTGTAACAATGTTTGTTGCAACTTGAGCGTTGTTACATGTGTATAGTAGGTACATGAAAAAATTGTTCAATTTTGATTGCCTGAGATTAATTTGTTCTTCTTTAATTTATCTTGTTGACAAGATGTGTGATTTTTACTTGTGTAAGAATAATTATGAAAGCCCTGTGATTTCAACATTTCTTGGGCCTGACTCACTAACCAGATTTTTACCTTATCTTTTATTTTGCTTGTTCTTGCCCTAGGCATGTCGCGCCCTCGTCATCAGTGGGTCGGAAGAAGGCAAGATAGTGTTCTGGGATGTTGAGCAAGGGTCACCTGTGGCGATTATCCAAGCTCATGATGGTCCATGTAACTGTCTGTTTGTTTGGGGAAGTCATTTCCTTTCTGGGGGAGGGTAAGTATTATTCGATCCATTTAACTGTTTGCTTGTTTGAGGAAGTCATTTTTTGTCAAGGGAGGGGTAAGGCTTGTAGATCCTAATACTGTTGAAGGAAATCATTTTTTGTCAGGGGGAGGACAAGCATTATCCTCCCCTGCTCAAGCTTATAAAGATTATATCTTGTAAAGCACTCCTGCTCGTGTTTTAAAGGCACAGTTCAGCCTTTTGAATGATGGTTTCTAAGGCGCATTTCAGCCCTTTTAATTGAAAAAACTAACTATAGGAAAATTAATTAAGTACTATTTCAAGCACGCGTAGGAGTGTTTTATCACATATAAAACACGACGCGTAGCGGAGTGTTTATATGCGATAAAACACGACTACAAGTGCTTTAAATAGCTTAAAAAACGACTCATCTTATATGAGTTCATTGGCGAAGTAATTTTTAAAATAAACTTTGTCTAAACCGAGAAAATCAAAGCTAAAGTTTATGTAAATTAACATGATTTTTTATCACATATACCACGACACGCTTATGAGTTTTCTTTGTGTTTTGCTCCTGAATTATTAATGAGTTTTTTATTCATAATTCAAGATCAGCAAACTTAATGTTTTTAACATTTAAAAAAAATTTATTGTTAAAAACATTGAGCTTACTGATGACCCTTTCAATTAAAAGGGCTGAAATGCGCCTTAAAAACCATCATTCAAAAGGTTGAACTGTGCCTTTAAAGCCTGTTTACACTTGCAATTATTGCTGCAATTTTAGGTGCAATTTTTTTCTTCTGGTGTATGTGAACGAGCGGATGAGTTATGAATGTTCGGATGACGGTACGTCTTCTCAGAGCATTCATAACTCATCCACTCGTTCACATGTATCAGAGGGAGAAAATCGCACTATAAATGGCAGTAAAATTTGCAAGTGTAAATGGGCCTAGTATACATAGGTCATATTTGTATGTTTAGGGATGCTCTGGTAAAACAGTGGGACATCGGCACAATGACATGTCTCCGGACTTTGCAAGGACATAAAGGACCAGTACAGAGTGTAAAGGTGAGGACAATTTTCTGGGTGTCCAGCATTTTTAGTTATGCCCCCAGCCCCCCGTGGTGCCCCTCAACCATTTTGCCCCCCCCAGTATTAATTAAATATAAGCAAAACAATGGAAGAAAAATGGAATTTAGAAGGGAGGTTTGATATTCTAGTAACTGAAATTTGCTTTGTGAATCTTATGTCCTGTCTTTTATCTTCAAATGATTCAATGGCTTTTTAAAAATGCTAAACATTGTGTTGTAAATACCTTAGATTTTAAAAATTTCCAAGAAGATAGCATATATCCCATACCTTATAGATTTGAGTTGTTGGAAGGCTAGGCTAAACAAGTTAGTGACCGCGTTGTGGTATTTACATAAACATACCATGCAAGTACTTAACTGAAGATTCAGTTTATCTACAGTATAATGTTTAGGAACGAACTTTCCCTAAGTCTCATGTTATTAGTATATTTTGTGTTCAATATATAGACCACAGTAAGACTTTTTTAAATGTTTATTTCATTAACAAACGACGTTTCGGAGATTTACTCCATCTTCAGGTAGGATTACAATTTGAATTTAAACTAACATGCGCATGCATAAACGTTAAAATTGCGACCGTTATTCGCGCGTGCGAAATTGCGTAAGCATATAAATTACGTGCACGTGTCCCATTCAGTGTACACAGAAAGATGTCGTGTATCAAATCAACTGTGACCTTTGTGGAGCAACGTACGTAGGCGAGACAGGCAGACCATTGGTGGTTCGATACCAAGAACATTTTCGTTCCGCAGCAAACCCGAAAGCAAAGTCCTATAAAAACATGGCTTTCTCGAAACACTACCTCGACCAACATTACGGACAAAAACCTAAACTGTCTGTTAAGATTTTAAAAAGAACAAAAGGATCTGTAGAACGGAAAATTACCGAAGCATTATTCATCCAAAAGCTTAATCCAGACTTGAATGGAAAATACGAACAGTTAAATGTCTTAGATTTCGTAGTTTAAACATTAAAGACAGAATTAACAATTTCTAATTTTTATTAGAATTAATCGGACACGTGCACGTAATTTATATGCTTACGCAATTTCGCACGCGCGAATAACGGTCGCAATTTTAACGTTTATGCATGCGCATGTTAGTTTAAATTCAAATTGTAATCCTACCTGAAGATGGAGTAAATCTCCGAAACGTCGTTTGTTAATGAAATAAACATTTAAAAAAGTCTTACTGTGGTCTATATATTGAACACAAAATATACAGTATAATGTAACGCTGCAAGGCCATGCAGTTCATTTGATCGATTTTTTTTCTAGATGAGCTGGAGTAAAATAATTTCTGCCTCTGAAGATGGCACTGTTAGAATTTGGGATTTAGAAGCTCCAATTCATAAGGTAAAAGCATAGGCAGTCCAGCAAATATGTTGTGTATTCACTTAAAAATGCATTAAACGCTTAAAAATGCGTATAAAGTTCGTCTGACTTTGCCATCAAGCGATTTATTGTGCAGCTCACTAGGGAGCGGTCATAAAGTAAGTTTATGAAATTTTTTCAGGGATCAGGGTAGGGTATGAAATAAATTTGTCACTTTAAAGAGGGGGTATGAAATAAAATGTGTTTGTTTCAATATAAAAATTGTGTTAATACAGTTTATTATTACGACTCCGTTCATGGTCCAAATAATTTTTCATACATTACTGCCATCGTTGTCTCAAAAAAGATTTGACCATTGCTCGGTAATCTCCCTTGCAGTTACTCTCTGTGTTGTGATTTTATTCCTGTTCATGAGCTCATGGAGAGGAGCACATGATGACACAAAGATTCAAAGAACGGCTGTAAGAGAGACTATTGTACAGCATATTTAATACACAGTGTAATCAGTGGCGTAACGTTATATCAGGGGGCCCCCGGTTCAAAATTTTCGAAGGCCCCCTAGTAGAAGTGCTGAAGGCACGAGTCGAGCGCCGTATATGCACGAGTTTTCTAGAGGGTCCAGGGCATGCTCATCCGGAAAGTTTTGTGAATCTAGACTCTCTGAAATGCCATTTCCTGGACTTTGGGGAGAGATTGTACAGAATTCTGTTGGTCAGAAAACGACATTGTAACATATCAGAGAGGCCCTGGCCAATGTTTTGGCTCTATCGCCTAAGCTTTGGGGCCCCCATTTGGCCCATTGGGGTTGGGGCCCCCGGGTTCTCCCGGTCTGAGCCCATAGTAGTTACGCCACTGAGTGTAATCATTTTTAAACTTGTCGTTTTTTGATGGAGTATGAAACATTGAGACCGCGTTATCTTGACGGGGTATCAAATATTACCCGACAATTTTTTGTGGGTATGAAATTTTGTTCACAAAATTAAAAATATCCTCCGCCCGGGTAGCACTTACTTTATGACCGCTCTCTTATATATGCAGATTCGTCATTTTACGTCATTCATTCCACTCTTCTTTCTTATAGCTTGGTCGACAGTATGATGAATTTGAAAACTCTTTACTTCCATTTGACACTCTTGAGCATGACGATGAGGAATCGTAGAACGTGGCTGGCAATGACTAGAATTAAGGTAATGGGCAGGCTTCATCAACTAACAGTACGTCAGTATCTTGTTATAAAATTAATTATGTATCTTGATTTGGTATATGCCCTCAACTAGTTTAACGGAACGGCAGTGATAAAAGTAGTGATAAGTTCATTTCATTGATAAGTGCATGATAACAATACAAACAAATTTTACACCAAAACAACTGGAAAGAGAAAGAGAAATATTAGATTTAAAAAGAGAGCTATATATAATATACTTGTAAATTGGAGATATAATATAATATATAATAGTGTATAATAAAAATGAAAACATAAAATATACCATAAACCTGGAGATATTTTTCCCAGAAATTACGTGTCCAGTTTAATAAAAGTTTTATTTTGAGAAGTTTGAAAGAAACGAACATGCAGAAATACATAAACCAAAACAGCAGGCTAAATTTTAATTATGCATGGTTAGCACTAATCCAGCTTTATTTCTTTTTACATTTTCTGTAATTATATCAGCTGACCGTCGTCTATTTCCACATCAGATCACTGTATCAATTAATTGTCCATCATGAGTTGACCTATATAGTGCCAAGTAATTTTGAGGTGTATTTAGTGAGGTTCATTTAACAATAAAATCGTTGACTGCCAACCGCCCCGGCAAACTGTATATTGTTTCAGAACACATCACACGGAAACAGATGAGAGCCTGTAAGAACGGAGGAACTGATGCGCCATCTATTTTTTCCGGGCTTATCTCCCACTCTTATCATTATTTTGTAGCGCCATAATAGGCATTGTTAATGTGTCTTCAACAGGAAATTAGAAAGGCTCTGTTCCTTGATTCGCCGGCGAAAACAAATTTGTTTCTTGTCTGTTGTGAACAGCGTTTAATTTAACACTGAAAAAACTCTTCTGATCCGCCAATCTACCCACGAAATTCTGATCCGCCAATCTACCCACGAAAAACCGTACTGTTGCCGAAATGTACTGATTCAAACATTTTTGCAAGGAGTATTAAATAGTCATCACATGCAAACTTCACTCATATTTCATCATTGAATAAAACTGGCGAAGATCTTGAAGGTGCGTGGTCAAAAGAAAGAACCTGGGTACGAGAATGAATTAAGGCGCCATACTCCTCTTCACTTGCTAGTGTAAAAATTTGTATGAATTTTTTATGAGCATTGCCATTGGTTTTAGGATAATTTTCAATAGTTGAGACAAACCGTGCAAGCCTAAAGCTAAGGCATTGTGTGTTTTATTGATATTATTAAATGTTTACAACTGTTAATTCTTGGTTTAATTGGCACAGAACCAGACAGCTTGACTTCTTTTCAAAAAGCAAGAACTGTTTTGTTTTCACTGTTTAACTCTCTTGCTGTTTTCTTTGTCAACGTCGCGACATGATATGTTAGCTTCCCGCCAAGAATCATAATTTATGATATAAACTTATACTGATATAATCGAATCTTGCTGAAAGGGCAGTCATCGCTTTTGTACTTGTCAGTTTAATTACATGGTTTGTCAAGTTTCTAGAAGCTTTTAGTTTCGAAACAAGCTATTTTTAAATTGTAATCCCTAAGATTTTTGTCCTTTGGTTTCTGTTGTTTTTTATTTGTCATGCAAATCTGCTTCTCGAGTTGACCATATACCTTTAAGCCTATAACTACTATAAATACTATAAAGTAAGCGTGGGTTCAATTGACATGCAGTTATCAGAGTGAGAATTAAAGTACTGATAATTTTTGCAGTAATGCAGTAGTCTTTGTGACCAGTACATGAAGTTGAGAGTTATAATTTTCTTTTCTTGTTGCTGTAATTGTCAACATTTCTGAAATTTGACCTGCAGCATCTGCTGTTGATTTGGTCTTTGTCTACCTCACTACCTGACCAAAAAACGAGTCCTACTTGTTTAATAATAGGATTAATATAGACTGCAACGTAAGAACCAAAGGTTAGCATTATATAGTGGGATTCAGTAAGCATCACAGAGCAGCAGTTGGGAGTGGTGGCCTATGTTGACACTGGTTCATTCTATTCACATATGAACATGTTTTTTATGTTAGACTGCTATAACCGCAATATAATCGCATTTGAAGTAAGTACTAGCTAATGCATGCTTCAATTTTACTGCACAAATTGCGAACTTCGAATAGCTAAAGATTTCTAGAGCGATTTTCTTCTTCTGATGGATAAGAACGAGTATAGATGAGTCATGAATGTTCTGAGTACATCCACTCCTTTACATCCTTCAGAAGACAAAAATGCACCGTAGAAATCGCAGCAAAAATTTCAAGTGTAAATGGGCCTTAAATTGCAACTGCAAACCTCAAAATACGATTTGAAGTTTGCAGTTTGCTGTCTGCCGTAAACGACTAAACGCCAATCTTTTGAAATTTAAAGTGACTGCACGATAGTGCGTATATGGTGAAACCTATATAGGGTGTATCAAAAAACCTGCAAACACTATAATTTGCATAATTCTGCTGCTTTCTAGTACAGGGTGAGTCAAAAAAAAAACTGACACCTTTGTTATAATTTGTCACCTAATATCAAAGGTATCAGTTTTTTTTACTCACTCTGTATTTCAATGTCTGTGCTAGTTATTTTGCTCCTGGGATTTGAAAATACAGTCTTATTAACTGCGTTGATAGAAATTAGAATATACAAAGTCATCAACTATTGTGTTTACGCACGCTTGGGATCAATTAGTTCTGAATCATGCAAATTCTAAAAACATTGTATTTCAAAGGTTTTCAGGTTTTTTTATACACCCTGTATATTACGAGAGCGCTCAATATACTATTGACTATACAGCCCGTGCAGCTAGGACGAAGGTCCAAGCCGGTAGCAAACCTAAGGGAGCATGGACCTCTAGGAATTTTCACAGACACTTCAGTTCGGAATCGTGCGGCAATTATATTTAAAAAAAATTAAGTCGCTTTGTTTGAACCTGGTTTGAACGCTTTACCCTTGAAACTTAATTGTGTTTGCACACCGCATTTCCGTTTGCGTTTAATTTCTTTAATCCACTTTTCCGTACGTAATTCGCGTAGGAGGCCGTCGACGTGGCTTTATTCATACTGAATCAGATTTTGCACATGAAAGATTCGTTTGTTCAACAGAAAATAAAGAATATTTTTTAGGGGGGGGGGGCTGGAATCGCAGCTTGCAAATTAATTAAACTGACGCAGAATTCTGTTTATTACTACAACTTACAGGGTTCGTAGCGGTCTTTGAAGTCTTTGAAAGTCTTTAAATTTGAATTCAGGTCTTTAAGGTATTTGAAAAGTCTTTGAATTGTGTGAAAAAGCGAAGTAAGTCTTTACATTATTTAGTGAATGTTTTATACGAGCTCCTAACTAATGGTGTGATTTGACGGGACTAATTACCGGGTAAAAATGGTGCTTTCACTTGCAATTTTTCGACAGCTGGTTGCTCTCAAAGGTCTTTGAAAAGTCTTTGAAAACAGGCAGAAAAAATGTTTGAAAGTCTTTGAATATTTTTGGTCGTGGAGAATGGAGATTACGAACCCTGACTTACTGTATGAACACAATTTTATTACAATGAATACTGGTACATTTAACTTAATATCGTCATCATATACCATCTTAATGTCATTGTTATTGAAACATCCTAGCTAACTGGCACATCTAAATATCGTCCATTCCGTGCTCTATCACCAGTTAAACTGCCCTCCATTTTCATACCATTAAACCGCTGTTGCAGTTCAAAAACCGAAGTCGACCTACGAAACTTGGATAAGCGTTCCACCGTGCTTCGTCTATGTTCACGCGAGAGTTTAAGTCCCCGTGGTTGGGAAATCCAAGGGTGTTCCAGAGCCTCGCTTGCTGTGATACGGTCATTTTGATCTTTGACAAGCATTTCTTGAACAAGATCATTTGCTAAGAACGACACTGGTTCCCTTTCGTCAGTGCATGTGAAATCTACGTCAGAGCCTATGATCGCTAAGAAAAGTTTATTGGTATCTTCTGACCAAAATGGGGGTGATCCGTAGAGTAGGATATACATTATGACCCCACACGACCAAACATCCACAGGGCTCCCAAGCGCCACCTCCATAATCGTCTCGGGCGCTAAATACAATGGCGCACCGCTGGGTGCACACTCCATGCGATTTTTCCCGTTGTCAAGCCTTCGTGCTAGACCGAAATCAACCAACTTCACGACGCTACTCGATCCTTTCTGTGTGTCCTGATACAACATAATGTTATCCGGTTTTACATCGCGATGAATAATTTTATTCACATGTAGATAGGCAAGGGCGCTTAGGATCTGTTTTATGTATAGGCAAGTGTTTGATTCCGTGTGTGTGGATTTCCTTAATATTTCATCAAATAGATTATCGCCCGGCACTAATTCCATTACGAAATAAAATTGGTCAGCCTGTAAGAAGCATTCGTAGAGTTTCACGATATTTTTATGTTCCAAAGTGTTCCAAATTTTTGCTTCGGTTAACGTACGAACGTACGAGTTATCGTCGAAGGAGGCTTCTTGTATTTTAACGGCGTATTCCGTTTTGTCCTCGCCTTTTTTACAGCATTTGTATACTTTACCGTAAGTGCCGCCGTTAAGATAGTTGCATTTTGTGTACTTCGAGTCAAAATCGTTATAAATCTTCATAGTATCTTTTGGTTTATTGAGTAGTCCAGTTTGACTTTGAGTTGTCGCCTTTGACATTGTGTATCTTCAAGTTAAATGACTATAGCTACCTGTGTAGTGACTTATGTGGGCGATCTTCGGAAATGCCTGCTGGGTACTGTTTGTTTAGATCAGTCGGAAAACCGCGAGCTAACGGAACTAGGGTAATCGGTTAATCAATTGCTATTCAATCCTGAGTCTCGCGTTTGCCAAGTAAAACCCAATTGTAGATGAAATAATTTCTATTGACATGATCTGAATTGACTTGTTCGTGCCTTGTATCAGCTGTAACTCGGCGAAATTCACACTACAGGCGATTTTACCTTCTAGATAACATCTACCTCTTAGGCCATACACCTTATCTATTCAACCATAGTTTCGGTCAAATTGCTTGCCTTTGGCAATTTTTCACTTTTTTAATCACTCCTAGATCTTTCAATACCATGTACTTTGGTCATTGTCTGTTCAATCCTGTTCAGGCAAAAACATATCCCTTTATTTTTGTAGCGTGATTTGTGACCTTGTAAAATATGTAATATATGGGAAGATCAATTACTTGTCACGTCATCACGACATTATCTGTCAACGCAATTTTTCAAAAGATCGAACCATAAGATTATAGTTCAGGAACATTCCGGCACTTACTAAACGCCGTTTAGTTCCTGTGAGGTTCAGCGGACGTGCACAAAAACAAAGAAGGTTCCGTTGAGCACAGTTGTATCATCTAATCGTTTCACTCAGACTTTCACAGTAAAGTTGTGTTCATGAAAGAGGCTTACATAAAGCCGTTCCTTAGCTATTTCAAGTGTGTGTGCGTGTTTGTTTGGACGGGGAGGCTTTTCTTGATTGTGCTAGCAAGTTTCATTCCACATAATGATGCTTCAAAGTTTTGTTTAATCTATTTTAAAAGTTAGAAAATGTTTTTGTATTTTGTGAATAGCTTAATTTAATAATTTTTGTAAACCAGCATAATTCGAGCATAATTTAGACAAAAAAACGAGAACTGCTAGCTAGTAGCATAATGTACCAGTTTTTTTTACATTTCAAATTTTATATTGTCAAGATACTATTTGTAAAATCCAACTGAAACAGTAGCATAAGCGTTTGATAAAGATGCTATATAAAATTACGCCCCTGCTTACATATGCGCTGTCACAGTCACAGTCACACTAACAACATGTTTCATTTTAAATTAGCATGCGAAGCGCCTGAGTCAAAGCATGCGATTGTTATGTCTGAATCCACGCGCTGTCCGTATGAGAACAATCGCTGTTTTATAGTTTTATACTCTTGACATATTGATCAGTGACTAATGATTCATTTTGACGTCAAGATTTTTATCAAGCATTCTGCTTACGCATGGCCTGTTTCTCTACAGGTAGTATGTTCTCATGAGCGGAGGATTGTCATCTAATATATTTCGTGTTAACACTCACGCAAGATCGCACAAGTTGTTACGGCAGTCCTGCAGCACGGCAAGATTATTTCAACAAGCCGATATGAAATCGTGTCTATAATCAGCTTCTTCTTAACTTGTTGACAATTTGTTGCCGGTCTGAAACAGGTTTGCTTACACAAGGGGCCTGAAAGGGTCAGGAATTGGGATCAGTTGCCTATTTTTGGACTACAAAAATGGGAATAGGAAAACCCATATATCATTCTAAAGACAGTTGTAGTTGGGCGTTTCAGAGCCGTTTGAATAACTTAAAGGAATTTGATTCTGCCATTTTCTAGCTCGAGGTCATTTTTCTGCTATTGCAAAGTCAGTGATTGAGTGGGGGGCTCATAGAAATAATAGATATCCTAATTTTTTTCCGCTCGTGTACGTCTATGAGTGATTTAGCATATCTAGTACGTGACAGGTATATATTTGTGAACTTTAAACCTTTCACTTTGTGAAATTAAAAGCAGATTATTGTGCCAACACATAGTTGAAGCTCAGGAATATTCTTTTAAGTTTACAGTTGCAACTGGGATTTGGACCATTTGGTCAAAACATGGCCGGGAAATTGGAATTAGAAAAAAATGGGCCGGATAATGGGAGTCTTGTTACAATGCCATATTACAAGTCTTAACACACTTGTTATAAATTAACGTTCCGACAATTTGTTATTGACATATCTTGAAACTTGTAGTAACTTGACAAATAACATCATTATTACAACTTGTTAATTAAGAGGCATCAACTATTTCGCTGACCTCAGAATGACATTTCGTCAAAAATTTGTTCTTCAAGATAGGTTTAGAAACAAATTTGGAGTAGGGTTAGGTTAGGTAAGGATTAGGGTTAGGGTCATTCTCGTACCCAGAGCCCTTCTTACGCGCGTTCGACCGAGCGCGACGAGGGGCTCTGGCCAAATCCATAATTGGATACCATAAAAACATGGTAAGAAAACAATATCCGGTATTAGAACTAGCCAATCACATGCCAGTTCGGATATGGATTTGGCCAGAGCCCCTCGTCGCGCTCGGTCGAAAGTGGGTATCGAACACGCGTAAGAAGGGCTCTGGGTACGAGAATGGGTTAGGGTTAGAGTTGGTGTTTGGAGTAGGGTTAGTGTTAGTAAAACCGTTGTTTTATTACGTTTTGTCACTCTGAGGCCAGCGAAATAATCTCTTCCGTTTGTTGACGGCATAAATTGCGATTTTAATATGGCGTCGCAATTAAAGAAATGGTCTATTGACTGTTAATGCTGACTCAGCGTTTTTCTCAATAACCGCGCCGGACTGTTGATGAAATTGAGCCAGCAATCACAGCCCCTGAATGTACGGAGCGAACCTCCCTCTTTCTTTTCCTTCATGTGGTCGATTCAAGAATAGTTTGGTAATTTTTCCCATTTTCAACATGAAATTTCACCCATAATCTCTTAGATTTTTCTACAATTTTTAGCTTTAGGTTGTAGCTAACATTCCCTTTTACTTTCTGTCCAAAGCTTGTTTTTGAAAGATGCAAATTTTCGTCAAAACTTTGACGGGAAAGACCATCACTTTAGAGGTACGAAATGGCATAATTGATAATTTTGTCCACGTGTTGTTCTGTTGTGTATGGTTGCTTTCATGTGTGAATTTGGTTTAATATGTTGTGTATTATTGTTTGTTAGGTCGAACCCAGTGATACTATAGAAAATGTGAAAACTAAGATCCAAGATAAAGAGGGTACACTGCTTGTTCAACTTTTAATAGACAGTTTTGTTGTGGTGTTCCATAATATAAAGGGTCGTTGACCAATAGATTTTGTTTGGCTCCAGTGTGGGAAATTTGTATTGCGTGGCTGAGATATCGGCTGTGCAATTTTGATGCTTTCTATATATTTAATATTAAATTTTCGAATTTTTGGCACATATTAAATTTCCAAACTTTCCAGTTGGGGTTTTGTTATCACAGACTTGTAACTTGTTACATGGTGGGGTTGCATGGCAAAGAACGTGCAATTACAAAATAACTGACAAACACTGAAATACCATGATAGACTGGTTAACCAACTAACACTTTGCCTTATCAACTTAGGAATCCCTCCCGATCAACAAAGATTGATCTTTGCTGGCAAACAGCTAGAAGATGGTCGAACTTTGAGTGATTATAACATTCAGAAGGAATCCACACTTCATCTTGTACTTCGACTCCGAGGTGGTGGCAAGAAACGTAAGAAGAAGACGTACACAACACCCAAGAAGAACAAGCATAAGAAAAAGAAGGTAATACTGCAATTCCCAAATACTCAATAATGGATCGTTCCAGAAAAAATCCACACTGATCCCAAGGAGGAAATCCTGCTATCCAGAGGGGGATTTGTTTTTGATAAGGCATAAAAAAATACTTGTGATTCCAGTTCCCGACCGACCCTATTTTTTTCCGCCAACCCTATTATTTTTTCAACGCGATTGACTGTGCAACCCTATTTTCTCCAGGTGGTTGCGGGATGCTCATACAATGTGCCAAAATGGTGTCTGTTGTAACACTAATTATTGAACCAAATTCACATATCAGTGACCAAATTGCCTAAATTCGTCCATAGGAAATATGCATCTCTAGTTAATATTGATGTCGGGACTCTACTGCAAATCGCCCAGCAAAAAACTGCCAAAACCATGAAAAAATATTACCGACTCTAATTTTTTCACAATATGGAACCGGAACCACACGCCTAATAGTAAACTGTGTATTAGGACATCTGAAAGGAGTAGAGGGGTGTGTTAATGTCCAATTTCCTCTGTGGGAGAGGTATGGATGTTTTCTGGGATGACCTAATCCTACCATGGATTGATTGGGTCATTCCAGAAAACATCCCCCATGGAGGAAATTGGAAGTTAATCTCTGAACCCCATTTTAGATGCCCTGGTACATTTTACTGTTAGAAGTGTAGAGAGAGAAGTGTTAGAAGTTCCCTCCCCCTTTGGATGGCAGAAATTTTCTTCATAAGGGGAGTGTAGATCCTTTTGTGGAATGACCCATATTTACACTGAAAGTACAACATGTAAAAAATACACCCTAGTTTATTATTTTATGCTGTCTGATGCCAGACTATTTCACTCATTAAGGGGAGAGTTGTGTGGTTTATAGATGGGTTAAAATAACTACTGTGCATTCAGATTTTTTAAACATATATAAACCTGACCCTTATTAGGTAAACTTGCATTTTATTTTCAATGTAAAAAAATGGTTTCTTGTATCTAATGCAATTATTCTTTGTTTAGGTAAAACTTGCAGTGTTAAAATACTACAAGGTGGATGAAAATGGCAAGATCACTCGTTTAAGACGAGAATGCCAGTCAGAGTCGTGTGGTGCCGGTGTTTTTATGGCTAGCCACTTCGATCGCCAATATTGTGGCAAATGTCATCTTACATATGTTTTCAACAAGCCCAGTGAAGGCAAATAGATGCATCTATAATATGAAATAAAATTAAAACAAAATTTGCAAATGTTTATTTTTTTGCATTCTCTATTAAATCACCCTTAAACTCTACTATAGGTGTTGCATTTATCAATTATCACTCAAAACATTGGGCTTATCACTGCAAAATGCCAGGGGCTGGTTTTATGAAGCCTGTATAGCACTTTTCCTGCAGATAGTGATTTTTTCAACCTTTGTAAAAATGCCTTAAAAGTGGTGAAAATACAGAAATGGACCTCAAAATAAATATTAAAAACCCTCTAATTTATAATTACTGAACTTTGTTCTTGGTTATACAGTCTATGGTCTATTTAAGAAAGGTTGAAAAATAATTTCACAGTGCTATTGCTGTCCGGCCTTTGTGCAACTGACCCCCGACAGCACATTTTCTGCAGCTCCCAGCATGACCAAGTGTTTGTGCCGTTCTTGACCTGGGTGCTTGTTGGTAAACTAGTGGTCCCCCCCAGATCAGTGCCCCCCCTCCCCTCAGAAAGGTGGCCAGGGACGCCGGAACGACGAGAGGGCAAAGGGGGCAGACTCGTCGACGGGCACTTTTGAATTGATATATATTGAAGGACGTTTACGAAACATCTGGAGTTAACGCTGCCATAATCACGTTTCTGATTTGTAAAGAAATGGGGAGGTCTGCTCCCCCAAAGGATTTTGATATTTTTGAAGCTCGATGACTGCATTCTGGCACAAAAGAATTCAGCCCAAAATGCCCAAAATGACTGTTGTCGTACGCGAAATTTGAGCTATATAGAGGCTCGTTTAACTGCAAGTTCTTTCAATTAATTTTACTTTTTATATGTTGTTATCGTTTTACAGTTATTGGCTTCGCCCTCCTCGGGCGGGTGACACGCACGTTAACAGCAAATTGGAACAACACTGAAATCATATAAACATAATTTCCATACATTTCTTACAGTTTTCCAGCAAACGTTTCTTATATCATATAGTTTATATAGTTCTATAATAACAAGAACGAATTCTTTCTAGACTATTAATAACAAATATTTTCCTTTAATCAAAAGGCCCCCCCCCCCTTGCCCCTCCTGGTAAAGGGCAAGAAGGGCAGCTGCCCCTCCAGCGTCCCTGAAGGTGGCATTTGCAAAAGGTGGCACTACACAGTAGTGACGTTTGCGAAGAAATCATTTCAATTTGGTATGTGAACTTTTGAAACGAAAATGGTCATTTCTATCCTGTTAAAACATCGACGCGCGCAATATGGCAATTAGAATGCGTCATCAATATATTACCATCGAGTAGAATTATCTCTTCAAAGAATTGAAATATGGCTGAAAAATCCGTAGAAAAACCTAACGATATCTTAAAAGATTTTCACGAAATCCTCCAGCGTTGCTGCCAACTCGAAGACACGCTTCTAAAAAACGTAGGGCTTTTAAATTGTATCAAAAACAACGAAGCGAGCTCGCCAAAAGACCTCGAGAAAAGCCAAGCGAAGTTGCAAGTTTTGACACAGAAAACTGACGCGCTAGAATCGGAGATGAATAAATTGACGGCGAAGGATTTTCAAAGTAAAGAGATAGATTTACAGAAATTGGAAAAGCGGTGTGAAAAAACTGTAGAAATTTATGAAAAGAGTAAAGAAACATTCCAGCAGTTACTGCAGGAAATTGAGCAAGAGAAATGCGACAAATAGAGCTAAATATTTGAAGTTTCTTTTTGGCATATGAGATGAAATATTAAAGAACACAATAAGTCAATAATGAATAAAGTTACACAAATGAACAATAAATATTTTTGTTTTGACCAAGTAATTGTTTTCATTAAGTTACTAGTCTAATATATAGATTATAGGCCTGGACAAATTAAGAAACATCTATTCCTTAAATGTTATTTCTAGAATTGCAGTAAAATTACATTTCTTTTTTGGGAAGCAAAAAAAATTCTCAGCATATTCAGTTGTTCAATTGCATGAGTTGCATGCATTGTTTTCTTAGTTTTATTCTCATAAATTAAATAATTTACTCAGAATTTACTGTTTGGGCGAATGTTTCTGATAAAGGTTTCCTGGTTTGCCCAGGTTTGTGAAACGTAGCTAGGGATCCAACGTTTCCTGATCTGACCACCTTTCGGGAAAACATGGCTAAGAAACCACATACATGGTTCCAAAACAATGTTTGCACAAGGTTTATCTACTCATTTAAACTTCTACTAAAATCCTGAAGCAGGTCATGTATTTCTTTAGTAGCAGTCACTTGTGATCTAACATGAGAAAGATAGTCTGAATACACTTGTGGGGGTACATCAGAGTCTGCTGTATCTGGATTACTTGTGAATGTATTGCTTTCATATGCTTGAATGTATGCAGTTCTTGCAACCATCTGTAAGTGAAAATTAAGAAAAATATGTTAGTTGCTATTGCTATATAAAAATTATGTTGCATGGTGGTTGGTGTATACTTTTCCAGAGGTGGATCTAGGTGGGGGGGGGGGGGGGGGGG